CCCCCACTACTGCATGCCATCACCCTTGGGTAGGTGCTCAGATGCAGGCAAAGAGGTGGCCTTTATGGCTTTAGCAGACCCAGAGAAGGCTGGCTGTTCTGTCACTGCCCACCCACCAACTGGGGGCTCCTGGAGAAACCACCGTGTCTTTCTGTATCTCTGGCTCTCGGCACAAGCCTGGCACACAGTAGGCCCTTATAAAGGGGGTTGAATTGTTGGACCCCCTAGAGATCTGTAGTGGGGAACCTCAGCGCTCAGTCCCTGATCCCATCAGCTCAACTGAGGATGAGACGTCTGTTTTGTGGGGTAAGTAACAAAGCTAAGTAGGACCATGCTGCTCTTGACAGGCTAGACCCCTGCCCCTGGGCAACAAGCCCACACCCTGGCTAGTTTTGGGGGATGAGCCAATATGGCTAGGGTGTCTGGGATGGAAGAGACTGAGGCTCTCAGGTGGCAAGAAACAGAGCAAGGGGAGGCGGGCCTCACCGCGCCCTGCTGTCCTCGGCCCAGCGGAAGCACTGGGTCCCCGGGCCCTGCTCTGTCATACAGCCTGGAGCAGGCGGCCGAGGTAAGCTGTGGATTGAGAAATTGGTTCAGTGGCAGGCAGACACTGCACTATTTGGCTTTGAGGCCTGTAATTCTTGGCTTCAAATCTCTACAGGCTGAGCGAATGGATAGGATGTGGGCCCCCAGAGGGCAGAGCTGGGGCCCTGGAGTTAAAGCTACTGGAAGACATTCCTCCTGAGGTGTGAACACCTAGCAGAAAGAGATGTCAAAGAATGGAGGAGGCTGCATTGAGAGGTAGTAAGTTCCCCATCGCTGGATCTGTGTAAGCCAGCTGGGGGAAGGACAGATGGTACATGTGTTGGATGAGAGTGTGTTGGTTCCTGGACTCTCAGGTTGAGGGCAGAGCTGAAGATGAACCCCTTCTCAGGAGCTGAACTTGGGTTAGAACTAGCTCACTCTGACCTCTAAGTCACCTCTAAGAGACATCTCCATAGACTCTGCAACTCTGTGACTCAACTTCCATCTGCCAAAGACCACACCAGACTCAGTTCTGTGAACTCTGCAGAGAAGGGCAGGCTGGCGGCTGCAGGCTGGGTGGAGTTCTAGTGATGGAGCCAGTGTTCCAGCAGGGCCTCCCTAGCCTCCTGGCTATTTCACAAACACACCAATCCCACACCCATCTCAGAGCCATCACACACACTTTCTCAGGCACCTTCCTGACCTGCCCCCACAGTTGGTTCAGTCTCATGTCACCTTCTCAAAGAGGCCACACCCTGTGCGGTAAATGACAATACACCCCGTCCCCAGCTGCTGGTGGCTCACAGTGTCCTTTCCTGGATGCTGCCCTGGGCCCCAGGGAACAGCCTCACCCAAAGTTTCACCTCCCAGGCTGTGGCTGGTGGCAAATGGCTAATGTGGGACCTCAAGGCCCCATACCTGGCCGCAATTTGGGATCTGAAAGGCCACCCAGCAGCGATCTCTACAGGACCGCGGGGGCCTCATCTATTCCGCCCAGTCGTGCCCTCCTCCCTTGCTCACAGGTCTCTGAGAGTGTGCCCCAAGAAGCCTCCTGCCACAACCTTCCATCTCCAAGTCTGTTCCGGGAACGCTTTCCTTCAGATCCTCTGACATACCTTTCTTTCTTTGTCATCTCTACATTGGAATGTAAACTTCATGATAGTAGAGACTTTGTTTTGCTCACTGCTCTCTAACTGGGGCCTTGCTGCATACCTTGCTGACACCTATCAGATGCTCCAGGACACCCTGTGGCTGACAGCTTATCACCTGGAGTTGAGGAGTGGGGATGGGGATTCTCTGCAGGTTCCCAGACATCTCTGGGAGACAGGTCCCTAGAATAGGGTGGGCTTCCAGCAGCCAAGCAGGTAGGCCCCACAAGTCGTGACTTGTGGATTTGTCACAGGGAAGACAGTATGACACACTCAGGTCACATACACACTTTAAGGGACTTTGTCCTGCCGCAAAAGAGGAAGCAGGGAGATGCTGTCTAAAGCCTGAGGTGACCTTGACCTGCTCTTTCAAAGCCTTGGGCCTACTGCTAAGGACAGTCCAGCGAGTCACAGAGCCTCTGGTGAGGACCCGCCCTAGGTCCAGCCTGAGCCAGCCTTGGGAGAGGACGAGACAGCCTAAAGGGCTGCCCGAAGTAATCTCACCTTTTCATGGGACTTCTGAAAACCTCCAGACCCCTCTACTTGATGTATCCTGGTCAAATGTGGCCTGTTAATCCCCAAGGAGGCAAAGCCTGAAAGGGAGGAAGGTGCTTTATTCCCACTTTGCAGATGAGGAAACTCAGGATCTGAGAGGAAGCTGGAATATAGGAGACTCTTGGAAATGGCGTTCCCCAGTCCACTGAAGCCTGCTGGAAGTGAACCAAGGAGCTTTCTCATGGATCCGCAAGACACAAATACACGACAAAATAAGTACATTCACATGTGCTCACAATGCCATCGACAAAATTTTGGTTCCAAACATCTGTTGCTTAAAAGTCCAAGTCCCTATAGTGTGATTTTTATACCAATAATGGGATACCCCATCCACCTTCCTCCTGCTTCCTTCTCCCAGACTGGCTCTAGGTGAGTTGTCTGTTCTCAGGCCTGAGGTCGAACAGGGCCTGAAGATCACCCTGTAGTCCTCCATCCCAGTGTTGAACGAGGAAGGGAAGGTAAGAGGTGGGGAGGCTGAGGCAGGTGGGCATTTGGGATTTGGGGAAGTGGGCACATCTTTGTGGAGGGGGCAGGTGTCATCACATACGAACTTTCCAGCTCTTCACACTGCACCACATGGTGTCTGAGCCTCACCTGCATGGGGAGGATAGAAATGCCAGTCCTGTCCGCCTTACCTCGCAGACTGGCTTTGAGGGGCCTGAAGGGAGACAGCAGTGGGCACTAGGCTCTGCAGCTTAGCTCCAAGGTCTGAGGTGACAGACCAAGGCTAGCCACTGGGGTTGTCCTCACCCCAGAGGCTGGGATGAGTGCCCAGGCCTCCCTGCAACCCTGGCCCCTTTCCAGGGCTGTCCTCAAGCTACAAGGTCACCTGCTGACAGCCTGCTTGCTCGCAGCCTTTGTCCCACACACTCAAGACCCAGGCAGGCTTGGCCCTCTCGCTTACCATTCTACCAGCCACTGGGGGGTGGGTGGTGGTGGATCTGCCCCCTCAGCCTGGCTTCAGACCACCACCATGACTCACCCAAGAATGATTGAAATGGCCTCCAGCTGGACTCTGCACAGTCACCCTGCCAACCTGTCCTCCATCTGCCCATAGAATGTTCTTATGGAAAAAAAAAAAATCCCTTTGACTCAGCAATTCTGCTTCGGAATTTATCCAATGGCTGCGCTGGCAGAAGTACTCTAAGATACGTGAACAAGGATGCTCACTGCAGCATTATTTGTAATGGCTAACAACTAGAAATACCTCGAATGTCCATCGATAGATATTAATGCCACTGCTCAGAAGAACTAGGTAGCTCACATGTGCTGATGTGGCAAGATCTGCAATCCCAAGGTATTAGGTGAAGAAAGAAAGGTGTAGAACAGTCTATAGATAGGATGACACTAAGTAATGTACCTATATGCATCCCTATTATACATATGCTATACATACTAAGGTGCCACATTAAATGACTCCAAGCTGTGGTCACCCCCAGGGAAGAACCGGGGCTGCCTTGGATGGGTGACAACTTGTACCTGGGGAAACCTGAAGTGCCAGCATTCCAGGGCCTTGAGAACTGGCCCCTCCAGCCTCACCCCCACCCGCACTGTCCCCACCTCCAACCACTCTCTGCTGTTTCGGCACACGTGCTGCCTTCCCAAGTAATCCCTTCATGTGCATACACCACCAGCCCAATCTGTCCTTCTCCTGGTAAACCCTCCTGCTGCCCCCGTCCCCACCCAGCCGAGCCTAAAAGGTACCTTGTAAAGTGTAAGAAGCACACCCTGGGAGTCAGACACACACAGGGCTGGAAACAACACTGTCATGTGTGGAGCTGACAGGGGCTCCTGGACTTCCTCCTGCAGCAGGAAGTGTGTCCTGGCCGCCCGCTCTCAGCAAAGCCACTTAGGAGTCACACTCAGCCCCAACAAAGCCACCTCATGAGGTCCCTCCCGTGTCAGGAGCAGTGTGTCCGCTGACTGGTGACTCACCACTGGTGTTCATGGAAAGGCTCAGCACCTCGGCAGCATGCGGGTGCCCATGGAGCTCGAATCAGCCGAGGCCTCAGGTACAAACCCAGTGAGCCCAGTCCCTCCTCCACTTGATGCCGCTACTCTCTCCCCATGGGGGCCGATCCCCAAGGCTCTCCCAGGCTTTCCCCAGGAAATCTCCACCTCAGAGTTTCCTAAGGGACCGGACCTAAAATTTCAGCTGTGTGACCTTCAGTGATTCCTTACACTACCTGCACCTCCTCAATTATGGGGCCCAGAAGAGAGCCCAGCACACAGCAGGCACTCTCAACACTTTTCTTGGATGTGGAAATGACACTTACCTTGCAAAGGCTGTGTGAGGACTGAACAAGATGCTGTGTATGAGCTGCCTGGACCAGAGAAGGGCTTGATGTTATCTGAACAGAGGTCAGCTGAACCAGGGATGTACTCAGTCCATTAACCAAGATACTAGTGGGAAATCTACAATGAATATTCTATTCAGACTTCCTGCAGTCATTGTGGAATGTGTCCACAATTTAAAAAATTCCCACAGAACCTAGTGACCACTCCAGAGCACCTAACAGGAAGTAAACATTACATACACATAATCTATAGTCTGTAAGACAATGTAGGTCACATTAACCACAAGTTTTTAGATGATGAAATTGAAACTCAGAGAGAGAAGATTCTTATGTAAAGTCACAAGATGGGTCACAGATAAAGCTGGGGCAGGTGAAGCTCCAGGGCTGGCCCTTGCAACAGAGGCAGACTCAGGGGCAGGGCCTGTGCGTAGCTGTGGGTGCCCCACCTGAAAGCACCCTGACAACAAACACAGGCTCCAGTGCGCCGAAAGGGCTCTTTTATTGTCGGAGAGACCACTGGCCCGAAGAGCGCTACAGCTTCAGGCACCATCCAGGCTCCAGGATTCTCAGGAAGAGCGGGGCGCAGGCGACTCCAGCCTCAGAACAGTCCTTGGCTCACACGGCACCGTGCAAATACAGAGCTAAAAACTTCCTGAATGTCTCTGGCTGGAAACCAGTCGGCCCAACAGGTTCCTGGAAAGAAAACAGCCCATTAGGATCTTGCTACTAGGTTTAATGGCAGCAATTAAAACAAAGGTCGGTTTTATGTAAATCCTAAGTGCCTGGATAATAACTGTTTCTTTCTCTTGTGATCAAGAAGGAGTGCTGGGGAGCTGGTGCCAAGTGATGCCAGGTGGGGGCTGGGCTCGAGAGGAGGACAGAAGGCGTCTCCGCGCCTCTCAGCAAACTTATCTGCTAACCCTGCCCTGATCCCTAGTCCCGCTCAATTCAACCACCACGGAAAAGTGTTTCATTTGCTCCTTTTAACTCCCGGGGATGAGAATTCCTCATTCATCCCACACACACTTATCAGGAGCCTTCTCTGTATGAGAGCTGTGCCCAGTGCTGGAAACCCAATAGTTACTTGAATCTGGCTCCCACCCTCAAGGAGCTTCCAGCCAGGGGTGCAAATAGTGGTAATGAGGGTGACAGGCCTCATCATGAAGTAGGAAAAAGATGCTAGGAAAGCGGGAGAGTAAAATAACTCATTGACTTCCATACATAGAAGAAAACATGTATGAATGAGTACTAAAGGGCAACTAGAAAGAGCCAAGAAGAAAAAGAAAGGGTGAGGCTGGAGCCCAGGGCCATGCTGGTGGAGGTGGGGTGACTAGAGGAAGAGATGGGTAAGGAGGAGCCACGTGACCACACCAGGACAGGCCTGGCAGTAAGTCATGCTCATGGAAGGAAAAGGTTCAAAGAAAAGGACCTGAAGCCACGAAGAGGAGACAGAGGACAACTAAGAGCAAAGATGTATGGAGGTGGCTGTTGTAGCTACACAGGCGAGGGACAAAGGACAGGGTCTGGGGCCAGAGAGAAGGGCTCACACCAGCAGGCATTTCAAGGGTATGTCAACATTGATAGAACTCGTTATTCAACTAACATACAGATGATGTTCAAAGACTCATCAACCCCATTAAGCAAATCTACTCAGGCCCTGCGTGACACACAGCTAGTGAGCCACAGACCCAGCAGTACACCCACGCCGTTCTCTCTCACCCCCAAATCCTGTTCTGTCTCTTTACAGGCTTTATCACTGCCTGATATTATATTATGAATCTGTTAAGATATGGTCACTGCCCAGAGCACAGAACACAGGCCTGGTCTCAGTCAGCTGAGCACTGGAGGTGCAGCAGTGACGGATAGTCCACAGAGGAATTCCGTCTGTGGAGTGAAATGAATGAACACGTTATTCACAGACTCGGCCTTCCAGGAGCTCAGGGCTCAGTTTAACGGAGGAGGAGAACACATGAATAGACAACCGCAGGACAGCAGTGTGACTGCGCTGTGATGGGGGCACCCAGGCTATGGCGACCTACCCGTGGAACTTAAGCAGGGCTGGGACTGGGATGCTGGGCTTTAGGCTAAACTTGGAATGACAAATAGGGACAACCAGATGCAAGAGAAATGGGGGAGGGCGAGTGGAAGAAGAGGGAGTGGGGTGCAAGAAGGAAGGAGCCTCCTCTATAAAAAGAACACAACTTACTAGGATCCTGAGCTGCTCAGGCAACTGGAGACAAAACTGAGAGGAATGGAGCGTGGTGGGGGTGTAGAGGGGAGCACAAAAAGCTGGGCAGGGCCCAGGGTGGAAAGTGCTGTTTTAGATGATGGACTGGGCTGAAGCAGCCCTCCAGGCAGACTGAGGTCCTGAACATGAGGTTCCTGAAGCCAGGGCTCCACTCACAAGCACTCCTTCAACCCCAAGCCAGGCTCTCGCTGAGGACGATGAGCCATGGCCCCGGTCCAATCACCAAGCCAGAGATGGCTGGACTTACCACAACCACCTTCTTTTTGATCACTGGGAGACACCAGAAGTGCTGATAGAGGAGCTGATCGGAGTCCACCCAGACTAGATTCTTGACGCCTTCCTCGGAGGCCAGATCTGTGGTGTTCAGTTGCAGCACCAGGAACTGGAAGACACGCCCATCGGTGCCCACGCTCTGCACAACTACTGGCTGCTCCAAAACCTTAGGGTCGTTCTGAGAGGAAAAGAGGACAAGGAAATGCAATCAGAAATGGCGAGGCATAAGAACAGCACAAACCAGGCAATTTCTAGTTCTGGCCTTTTAAATAACCCCCTACCCCACTGAGTGGTTTTCCTACAATGAAAGATGAAAATAGAAGGTGGAGCTAAGGGCACTGTCCAGGGCTAGGCCTTCTCGCACATAGCCAGCCTGGCTCTCCCTGGGCTCAGATCAATCGTGGCCCCAGTGTACCTGCTCTTCAACTTGAGCACACTAAAGTACTAATTCCTGCCACTGAGAGGTGACTGCCAGGCAAGCTGCACAGTAAGGGAAGATGAGCTGGGAGGTTAATGACGGGAAACCCCCCAAACTCATGGTATAACCTGACGGTGACAATGATGACGCTTATCAAATGCTGACCTGGAGGGTCAGTGCATATGACAGACATGATCTCATTCAGTTCTCACTCCATCTGATGGTTGAGGAGACAGACCAGCTGAGGCAGTGACTTGTCTGAGGTCACAACGACATGTGACATCAGCACCCACAGTGGCTGGTGCTCAGTCAGACACACCTTCTCTCTGCCTGACTCTACCCCTCAGGGCCGGGCTTCTTGGAATGTCCTAAGCCTACAGGCAGGCATCTCACCTGGGCTTTGAGCTCTCAAAATTCAACTCTGAGTGTGTCCGATTCCTGGGTGTCCACTCCAGCTGTGTCAGCCCCAGGCTTTCGCCAGTTGACACATTTGCTAATCATCTCTTTCCATCAGTGCCATCGATAACAGTAACACACTAGCAACCATTTACTAAAGGCCTCTCATGTCCCGGGCATCACAGCAGTCTCACACAGTCACCTCTAATCTCATAAATCCAGTGGTATATACCCACTTAGGTCTCTTCCCTGGTGGCTCAGCAGTAAAGAATCCGCGCTGCTCTGCAAGAGCCATAGGGGACGTGTTCGATCCCTGGGTCGGAAAGATCCCCTGGAGGAGGGCACAGCAACCCACTCTAGTATTCTTGCCTGGAAAATTCCATGGACAGAGAAGCCTGGCAGGCTACAGTCCTTGGGGCCACAAAGAGTCAGACACAATTAAAGCAACTTAGCATGGCATGACACGGCATACCCATTTAACAGATGAGGAAACAGATTCAGAGAGGCGGTATAACTAGCTCAAGGTTATCCAGGACAAGACCCAGGCTGTTAAATCTCTTAAAATCTTACTGTTCTAGTTTACACCTAGTGTCCCATTCTGATAGTAGCACCTCTGTCACTCTCACCAGTATTCCAGTTTCGATGACAAGTCATATGTTCACCCTACTGAGTCTGCAGGAATCCAGTCTGATGACTACTACCCAATGGACAAAGGATTCAATAGGCAGGCCCCGTGAAGGAAAGCATCCTTGATTCAAAGATGCTGCCTACTACATTCACTGCTCTAGGGCTGAATCTGACATTAGGAATAGCTAATGGCAGACCTCAATGAGGGCCACACTGGGACTGCTGGCCTTAGAAATACCTGTTCTTAGCTGCATGAGAAATAAATAAAAAGAAAAGTACCTCTAAGTGTTAGCTGAGAATTCTGTATTGACTCTTATCTCCCTCTACAGATCAATAAAACTGCAGGTAGTACATAAATTTCTCAGCAATTTTACCTTTTACACAGAGGCTCTTCCCATAATTGCTCAACCTCACATCCCCAGGAATAACCTGTCCTGGAGGGGCTGAGGGAGGCCTCCTCTCCCACCCAGCTGGGTGGCGACTAGCAACAGCACTGCCACTATGCCCTGCTGGCACAGGAGCTACCGGGAGCCTCAGGCCTGGGGCCTGGCAGGGGACTCTGCCTCCCTCTCCTGCCCCGCAGTCAGGAGGCAGCATGTCCCCTGAGGCTGCAGAGATAAAGGTCCTAATGCCTGCCTCCCTACTCTTTGGCTGCAGGATCCTAGGCAAGTTACCCAACCTTCCAGAGCCTTCAAAAAGTATGTCAGAGAACAGAAATTAAGATAACCTCCCAAGGACTGGAAAGACACAAAAATGTCACATAAAGATACAACAGCTGCTGATCTCTTAGCTGTGTAACCCTGGGGAAGTTACTGAACCTCTCTGAACCTGTTTCTTCATCTGTAAAATGAAGCTACTAGTATCTGCCACAAGGGGGCTGCTATAAGGATTAAATAATGCAGTAGTTCTCAAATTTTAGTGTTGTGGTTTTCAAGTTTGTACCATCATCACCTGGAGGGCTTGTTAAAACTGACCTCCAGGCTCCACCCCCAGACCTTCTGATGCAGGATGTCAGGTGATCTGAGAATTCACATTTCTAACAAGTCCCTAGATGGTGTTCATGCTGCTAACAATTCAGGGTCATATTTTGAGAACCACCGCTATAAGGAGCCCTAGTTAAATGTTTGGCATGTGGCAGATGCTCAACACAGACAAAGTCCATTCTACTCCCTATCTCATCAAGCTAACCACACTGTACCAACCCCACCTAGTTCCTAGACCAAGGAGGATGAGAAAAAGAACATTCTGAAGTTCACTGCTCCTCCAGGAGGGCCTTAGGTTCTAATCAAGACCTGGGAGCCTGACAGCAGCTCTCAAAAACATTCTTCCCCTCCCACCTTCCAACACACACACAAAACCAGGGGTCTGGTGTCCCAGGCCTGTTTGGGGACTTCGATATTGCTATCTCCTGCCTGGAGGCCTTTGCTCCCCAGCCAGGCTTTCCTCCAATCTTGGAACAGCATTGTGTGACAACCACTCAGCTTGCATTCTATAAAATCTAGGTCCCTGAGACCTCCTCTTAGAATCCAGAGGCAACCATCCAAGTGGTATGTTGGGTCTTCAGAACCTGTCCTGAGAGGGCAGGCAGGCCTGGGCCATCTCCTGCCTTCCTGATAAAGCCCTGTGCTCAGGCTCTGTTAGTACAGTTTAGAGGCAGAGTGCTGGAGGACATGTAACTGAAGCCTCAGGAGTTGAGACCATCTTGTCCCAATCCTTTCTCCACCATGTACTGTGTGTAATGCTGGACAAGCTGCTTTTAGCTTTCCTGGGACTCAGAAGTATAATCTGAAAAATGGGGATCACAATGAAACCTTGTGGGCTATTGTGATGAGGCATCTTATGTAAAGATAGACACACTGTAGGCCCCAGCAGATGGTAGGGTGAGTGGAAGTGCCTCTCCTTCAGTCAAGCAAAAGAATTCCCTCCACACTTCCTTTCCTTTGAGCAGGGTAAGGCAGGAAACCGACACAACGTTAAGACAGCTTGGTGGTCTTCCCCACACACATACCCCATACAGGAGCCGGGCCTGAGCCAGCGCACTGCCGAAGGCAAACAGGATCATCTTGGCCTGCAACTGATGTGGCTGAAAGCGGTGTGCTCGTAAGTTGGCTGACTCCAGCAAATACAAGGTGTGGGGATAGGGGTAAGGATAGCCCTCTTGGAATCCTGCAAAACACGTCATCATGTGGAGGGACAGGTTAGTTGGCCCACCCGAAGCCTCAGGAAAGTCACCCCACCGTAGCTGAGTGCCAGAAACTATATATTTTGGGTTTTTTTTTTTTTTAAGATTTTGTTGTGGTGGTGGTGGACTGTTTTTAAAGTCTTCATTGAATTTGTTACAATATTGCTTCTGTTCTGGGTTTTGGGTTTTTGGCTGGAAGGCATATGGGATCTTAGCTCTCTGAGCAGGGAGAGAACATGCCTCGGAAGGTGAGGTTCTAACCCCTGGACTGCCAGGGAAGTCCCTAATCTGGCCTGTTTTTGAAAATAAAATTTTTACCGGAGCACAACCACACCCACTCATTTACATATATCTATTAAATAGCTGTGACAGAGACTGTATGTGGCCTACAAAACCTAAAATACCATTTGGTTCTTTATAGAAAATGTTTGCTCACCTGTTCGAAGTGATTCTTGCTGGCTAGCTCTCTAACCCCTGAACCTCTTCAATTGAACCAATTCAATTTCTCATTCAATCAGGTATACAGAGGACAGTGATACTAGAAAGATAACCTGAAACCTATAGTAATTATCTTTTTAAAAAGCAAATCTCTTGCAAAATACTTCATTATTAGTAACAAACGGGGTCTCATACCCCACAACACAGTGCTGAGAATCCAAGTTCAGCACTCGTTCATCTGAGCCACAACCCTGCTGGGTCACCGTTTCTTCACTTGCATGGCCACGGGCAAACCCTCGGAGGCTGGAGGCTGCTACAGAGAAGGACCAGGATTGGCAAAAGTGGACGAAATGGAGGAATAAAGAGGCTGGGAAAGTGTGAGCTCTGAAAATCCCAGGGGAGGGCATCACTTAAGAGAGACCCGACTTTCCTGTCTGCCTCGATTCCTCCACATGTGTGAATACGCATCACTCAGCACTCACTCTGTGCCAAGCTCTAAGACAGGCACCAGGGACAGAGCCCACACAGCGCTTGCGACTGCCTTTGAGGAGCTCACCAAGTCTAGAGGGGAGACAGACAGGAAAACTGATCACATCCACTCAGAGGGACATGTCAGGACACGAGGGGAGCCAGGGGGCTGGGTGAGGACAGATCAAAGGGCCCTGACCAGACTGCGAAGTTGTAGAGCATTTCTGGGAAGAAGTGAGTTCGAAGGTGAACTATGACCGATGAGTAGTTACTTAGCTGAAGAGAGAGAGGGGAGAACAGTCAGAGTGCAGGCAGAGGGAAAAGAAAGTGCCAGAGCATGGTGGTGAGAAAAGGACAGTGGGAATAAAGGAAGCCTGTGGGCGAGGAGGCAAAGATGGGGCTGGAGAGGGGCAGAGGGCGATGTGAAGGCCCTTGTGTGATAAGCTAAGGAGTTCAAACTTTATCCAACAGGCAGTGGGGAGATGGGCATGAAGAGCGATGGGATTAAATCTACGTTCTAGAAAGACTACTCTGGAACTGTGAACTAGAGGGACGAGAGAGGAAATGGCCCGGGTCACACTAGCCCACTAAGAGACTGGGGTAAAGGGCTGGGTGAGAGACAGTGGGGACTGACTGAGGCACAGCTGTGGAAAGGAAGAGAGGTTGAGGAGGAAGACACTGCAGTTCACAATGACTGGGTGAATGGCAGGGACTGCAGGCCTCCCCAGCCCGACTCCTTAGTTTCTGTCGTGTCTCACTGGGGAAGTGGTGGTGCTTTGTTCGATGGAGGTGGGGTGAATAGCCCCACTCAAGGACTGTGGGCTTCCTCCATCCTAGCAGAAGGTTGGCCAGAGTTTATAGGGTGCACAGAGAGGGGCTATCTTTCAAGAGAATTATAAATAAAGGAAACATTTGATGCCTGGTCAAAAGCCCCTCAAGCTACCCATTACAACTGATGCAACAGAATGACTTCTTCGGGGTCAAAAGTAAAGTCAGCCTCTGAGTCAATCACAACTACCCCAGAGTCTTAGTTTCCTTAGGGTTAACAACACCTATCTCACAGGGCTGCTACATGGCTCTGAGGAGAAAATGCACATGAGATCCTAATACTAAGTACTCAATGTTTCCTTTCTCTTTGGAAAAAGCCTGTCCCTCATCTGCATGCTGCCTAAAAGTCAAAGGCTTTGATACTCACCCGTGTTGTCATTCACATCATAAATATGGCATTCCTGAAGGCTGATAGTGGGAGATATGGGATAGAAAGTCTCGAGAACATGATTCTTAGTAGCTTCCACTTCCTCTTGGGAGGCAATGGGAGGCAGAGGATCCTTAGCATTCAGCTGGGCTCCACTGGAACCATGGACCTGAATCAAAGTAGACTCTAAACGGGGAGAAAGGCAGTTAGTCTAATCTGGTCTAAAGCCTTAGCTAGGCAAAGTCAAAAGCTTTCATCCTGCTATGCTCCTCAAGTCTTTTACAGCTTCACTATCTGATCTGCCTCATCATAGAAAATACAACTTTGGAAATTCATCCTTGTGCTTATCATATAAGCAGGTGAGCCTTCATCACTTCATGTCTGGAAGCCATTCTCTGCCTCTGCTACGCCTTGGAGTAGACAAGTAACATCAGATCCAAAAGACTGAGTGGCCAGGCTGAAGTCACAGAAAAAGCACCTAACAGGACTGGAGTTCAATCTAGTGATCTTCATTCTATAGACTAGAAGGGGACACGAAGACAAGATGGTGGAGGAAGGACCTGAGCTCACCTCCTCTCACAAAAACATGGGAACAACTAACTGTGGAACAACTATCATCAAAAATGATTGGAAGCTACCAAAGAAGATATTCTACTTACAAAGACAAAGACAAGATGGTAGGAGTGTTACATTTGTGACATAATCAAATCCCATACCATCCAAGTGAGTGAGCCACAAACTGGAAAATAATTGTATCACAGAGGTTCTCAAGTTCTGAGCCCTACAAAAGGTTCCTCCGCCTGGCGGTCTGGCATCAGGAGGAGGAAGTCCCAGGGCACTTGGTTTCAAGGCCACCAGGGCTTGACCGCAGAATCTCAACAGGGCTGGAATAGAAAGAAATGCCACTCCTGGAAGGTGGATGCAGGGTCTTCTAAGAGCACCAGGACCCAGGGGGAAAAGCACTGAGCTCACAGGATCCTACTGCTGACCTTAGAGGGTCTCCTGGGGGGGAAGGGGGTTGGGGCGCAGGGGCGGCTGTGGTCACACTGGGGTCACGGAAACCCATAGTGGAGAGGTACTGGGGAGTACTAATTTGGTGTGAGCTGTCCTGGCCCCACCCAACAGCCCATATGGGCCCCTCCAGTCAAACAACCACAGAGCGGGAACACAGTCCCACTCATCAGCAGACCGGCTGCTTAGTCTTCCTGAGCCCACAGCCACCTCTAAACACACCCCTTGACACAGCCCTGCCCACCAGAGGGACAAGACTCAGCTCCACCCATCAATGGGCAAGCACCAGTCCTTCCCACCAGGAATATTGCACAAGCCTGAAGGGAAAACCAGATACTATAAAATTCAGAGGAAAATATAGGTATTAGATTGGTCAAAAGGTTTGTTCAGGTTTATTACAGAAAAATCTGAACAAACCTTTTGGCCAACCCAATAGAACACTCTTTGTCATAAATTGCAATGATACATTTTCCTATCTACTTCCTAATGAAAACAAACAAATAAGCTAGAACCTATTCAAACTTAAAAGGTTTCACACAGCAAAGGAAACCATAAATAAAATAAAAGACAACCCACAAAAATGGGAGAAAACAGTTGCAAACAATGCAACTGACAAGGGATTAATCTCCAAAATAAACAAACAGCTCATGCACCTCAATCAACCCAATCAAAAAATGGGCAGAAGATCTAAATAGACATTTCTCTGAAGAAGACATACAGATGGCCAAAAAGCACATGAAAAGATACTTAATATAAGAGAACTCAGTAGGTAAAGAATCTGCCTGCAATGCAGGAGACCTGAGTTCGATTCCTGGGTCAGCAAGATCCCTTGGAGAAGAAAATGGCAACCCACTCCAATATTCTTGCCTGGAAAACCCCATGGACAGAGGAGCCTGGCAGAATACAGTCCATGGGGTCCCAAAAAAGTCAGACACAACTTAGTGACCAAACCATCACTAATTATTAGAGAAATGGAAATCAAAACTACTATGAGGTATCACCTCACACCAGTCAGAATGGCCATGATCAAAAAGCCTAAAAACAATAAATGCTGGAGAGTGTGTGGAGAAAAGGGAACCCGCCTACGTTGTTGATGGAAATGTAAATTGGTACAGCCTCTGTGAAGACTGGTATGCAGGTTCCTTAAAAAATTAAAAATAGAGCTACCATATGATCGAGCAATCCCACTCCTGGGCAGATATCCAAAGAAAGCCATGCTTCGAAAAGACACATGCAGGGGGGATCGGGATGGGGAATACATGTAAATCCATGGCTGATTCATGTCAATGTATGGCAAAAACCACTACAATATTGTAAAGTAATTAGCCTCCAACTAACAAAAATAAGTGGGAAAAAAAAAAGAAAAGACACATGTACCCTGAGGTTCACTGCAGCACTATATACAATAGCCAAGATAAGGAGACAACCTAAATGTCCATCGACCCGGATTCTTTACCACGGAGCCAAGGAAGCCCTACAGTGGAATATTACTCCCCATAAAAAAGCAACACGAACAGACCTAGAGACTATCACACTAACTGAAGTCAGACAGAGAAAGACAAGTATCATACGATATCACTTATATGTGGAATCTAAACAAATGAACTTATTTACAAAATGGAAACAGACTCACAGAGTTAGAGACAAACGAACGGTTACCACAGGGGAAGGGTGGTGGGGGGCGGGGAGAGATAGTCAGGCAGTTGGGATTAACATATACACACTGCTATACATATAAAATAGTCAACAAGGACCCACTGTAACAACATATATGGGGGAAAAGTCTGAAAAGAAAATATGTATGCATGTAACTAAACCACTTTGTTGTACACCAGAAAAACAATATTTTTAAAATTAACTATACTTCACTATAAAATAAATTTTAAAAAAAGATTAGCTAAAAATAAAGCTTTTATCCTAAAAAAATAGAAAAGAAAAAAACAGAAAACTTTGGTTAAGTTGTTACTCCGGAGTTTCTTGAGAGAGGGACTCACCAATGCACTCTTCTCCCTGTGTTCTTTCCAATGAACCATGAGGCCTGGTGATCTCTGTGGGCTCAGAGGCTGCGGGTTTGGATCTTCCCAAGCACCTGCTCTATGCTGGGGACCAGTTTGACTCTCTTGAGCAGAGAGTTCCTCTCAAGGGCTGACGAGGGAGTAAGTGCTCCAACACTGGGAGACAGCAGAGGTGGGAAAACCGACCTCCCTGGGAGGTCTGGGAAGCTGCCTGAAAGAAGTAATGCCTTCAAACTTGCTTCTGAAAGATGGATAAGAGCAGAGCTTCTCAACTTTGGTGCTGTTCACATTTTAGGTAGTTCTTTGATGAGGGAGGCTGTCCTATGCACTGTAGGTATCTGGCAGCATCCCTGGCCTCTGCTCACTAGATGCCAACAGAGCTTTCACTACCAGCCCCAGCTCTGCTTCAAGTCAGGACAAACAAAAATGTCTCCAGACAAAGCCAAATCTCCCCTAGAGGATTAAACCACCCTTGGCTGAAAACTGCTGGGTCAGAGTTTGCCAGGCAAAGAAAAGGGAGGAAACTTCTAGTGAAGGAGGAGTAACATGTTCCATGATACAGAAGCCTGCTGCTGCATGGCAGAGCTTAGGGGAAGTCAGTGCAGATAACTGGAGCACGATACAGTAGGAAGAAGGGAGGGAGACAGAAGTACTGAGACCACAGGCTAAGCAGAGAGGCTGCTAAGCCCAGGAAAAGGATTCAACTGACCTCAGTAACTCAGTTAAAAAAAATGAGCCAGTCAGAAAGCCTCACTTAAGTCAGATGAGCATACTTGCCACAAGGAGACACAGGTCTATGAGCAAGCGAATGCACATCTGACTGAGCAGCGAGCCTGCTGCTGTGAATGCGAGCAGATGCCCCTCACAGAGGTGCCCACAGGAAGATGAATGTCATCTAGAAAGTCTCCTGGACAATGGCCTCCTACGGACTCTCCACAGAGGCAGATTTTTCTCTGAAGGTCCCTGAGTTTTCAGAAATGCAAATCAAATACTACAATCACAATGTGATGGGAATGGACCAAGGCTGTGATGCTGTGTGTCTAAAAACTGGTCTGACCAATAGCACTGTCATTTAATTAACATGGGCCCTCCTTTACTGGCTATGCAAAAAGGGATACTAAATCTGTGGATGGATAAACTCTGACCCACCTGTTAAAACACCTCATACCCACACTTCAAGAACAGTTTTCTCAAGTACTTCCTGTTTCTTCGCATATCATCTGCAAGGAAGATAAATGTGCCTGGACCTCTCTAACCTTGGGTTTTAGATTCTCCCCACAGAATACTCTACTGTGGTTTCCAATTCAATTCCCTCCACATCCCTTCTCCAGTGACAGCTCCAAATGGGGCAGTTTAATTAGAGGTAATACTTGATAATGGGCCAACAAGCACTCCTCTATTAATGAGGTTCACTAATTTCCTTAGTGGTGCCATTACCTCTGCAAAGCTGACTCTTTGCCAGGAAGTCCATACTCACAGGGGCAAACTGGTGAAGCCTGACCAAGTCGATGTCCTAAAAACCCAAACTGTTCCACAGCTGGTTTCCCTGCTCTAGGATTCCACCAAGGACAACACTTGTGTTCTCGGAACATCCCTACCTAAAACATCTGGGATTTGGTATTGATTCACCCGTCCCTTTAGTCAGCACCTGTTGTGTGGCACTGTTACTGTGGACAAATAAGACACAGTCTCTGTCATCAGAAGTTCACAGTTTGGTGGGGCAGATAGAAAAGATACTAGATAATCACAAAACATAATATAGTATAATGTGTGCTATGGCAAAAGTAGGCATATGGACAAAAGGAGCAGATAGCTGATCTGTGGATTTGCATGAGACGTGGGCTTGAGCTAAGTCATACAGACAAGCAGAAATTAGTCAAATGAGGAAAACAGAAAAGAACATTCCCTGCAGAACGTATAGCACTTGCAAACGCAAAGCTTGATGCCAAAAAGCTGCAAGTGGCCAAGTATAAACATGGGAATGGAAGTGGGGACGGCAGAGCAAGAGATAAGACTAGAAAGACCAGCTGGTGGTCAAAGCCCAGGAGACCTTGGATACCACCATGAACTGTTAAGCTATTAGGAGGCAATAAAAGATTTGAACCAGGGAAGGGACAGAGAGAACCTGTACTTTAGAAAGATCACTCTAGCAGCTCTGCAGAAAGTGGATTTGGAAAAAAAGCATGAGAGTAAGAAGACTCTTGCAGTAGAATATGAGCTTTGAGAGTGCAGACTGTGTTTTATAACTTATGGTCAACATTTAGGCACTTGGAGGCACTCAACTGATATGGTATGAATTAAGTCTTAGAAAGAAATGATTACAAGAAAAAAAGGCTGGGCAAAAACTAATGACACCGAGGATGTGTCTGAGCCACAAAACTGGACCATGAAGGATGGGAGTGAGAATAGGTATGGCAGCAGGAATGGGAATATAAGCTGGTGGTGGGGCTGAGAGTAGAAAGACAAGGAAAGGATAGGGCCTTTCTGGTGTACAGGACTAACCTCGTTTCCAAGTAGTAGATAACATGTTGTTTTGAGCACAGATCCGCCTGGCCAGAGAAGGATGCTTGAGAATCTGGGATTTACACAGCTGGATCAGGCTGTCGACAATGACTGGGCTTGGAGAAAAGAAGAGATATTTGGAGGTGTAAAGCTGACTCCAAGATCCATCAGTAGGAAATCTTACTGACTTGGGGGAAACTTACCAGTAGGTCTCTCTCTTGGGGATGTCTTCAGTAGAGTGCCAGAGACGAGCATGAAAGATCGCATTCAGAACGCGTTCATCTTGGTTCTCTATGTGGTTCCTCGGATTGTCAGCAAGGCTAAGCACTTTCTCGGGAAGGCCTTCTATTAACTTGGTCTTGGTAAGCCAGAGGGCCTGCTTTACACCTTTAGGGTCATCAATCACAAAAAACAAACACTAAAAAAAGATGATTCAGAAAAAGATGCTTATGCCTTCCCAGTTGCATTTTGGGGAAAGAGCAGCCTTGAGACAGAGATGGGATTTGTTCTGACATCTGAGGGGACAGAACTAAAAATAAAGAGCAGAAGCGAGGAGAACCATATTTCAACTCAGCTCCAGGAATGACCATCTGCTTAAAAACAGTTAACAGTTGACTGATGTACAGTACTTGCCACAGGAAGAATTCAAACAGCTATTAAAATGGCTGAGATCATGAGACTGAACCTCGCAGGCAAGGGTCGTTTGTAGCCTGTCTGTAGGTATAGAGGATTCAGACCCTAGCATACAGGCCTAGATCAATAGATGCCAACCTTTCAAAACCTAGATCCCTTCTATTAACCCACACCCTAGCCCTGATTGGAAAAGCTCACGTCTGCCAAATATACTTCATTCAATAGATACAGGCCCAGCATCAAGCACATGCTGCTTTATCAAGGGAAAGAAGCTTTCAGAAATAAAGGAAATATCTTCTGGATCATGAATAACTTGAGGAGTGCTGAGTTTGGGAGCACCAGATAATTTTTCGCATCTACCTCTGAGATTATATAATGAGCCATTTTATAAGCAGAATTTTGTATGAAGAGGCCATATGAACTGTACTGCTATATTTGTTAAAAGAATCCTTCTGAAGATGTTTTTCAATTTATTATACTGGGTCCTCCGAGGCCTTCTGAACTTCTCTTTGGCCTCCATACAAGAAGGGTTGGCTTTTCCTGGGTAGAATACTATTTTGTCTTTTGGACATGGTGAACTACGTTAACTCAAAATGTTTCTCTATATCAGGGGCCAAATTCTTTCTTAAAGGGTCAGAGAGTAAATATTTTCAGCTTCTGGGCCATACAGTCTCTGTCACAACTACTCAGCTCTGCCACTCTAGCACAAAAGCAGCCATAGGTAACAAGTAAACAGGTATGTATGATTTATAGAAAAAGGCAACGGGCCTGGTCAGTGGACCCCATCTCTGTACCATCTGTTGACTGCTAGCAAGCTGAGAGCCAATTCTGGTGCTCCCCTATATACGTACAACCTCACAGAAAGGATTTTTTGTACTCACCTCACTGTTTCTATGCTCATCCCCTCACCTATTTTTAATTTAATCTGGCGGTACTATAAAATTTCTATAAGATGCCCAAAATGCTTCTCAGGAAAAAGAGGAGGAACAAAGATTTGATCCAGAGTGCTTAGTCTTTAAAAACTAATTTAACCATCCTACTCTCAGGGGGATGGGGCTGCGGTGCCAGGCAAAACTCCCTTGCTTCACTTTCCCCCAAACTCACTTCCCTAAAGGAGGAAGAGGCGCAGACATAGGGGCCTAAATTCTGCACAAAGTCCACATACCAGTCTTCTAACTCTCAGAGTTAACACTGCGTTCTCTTTGACGACTATGTCCATCAGCTGGCAGAGCTCTGGTGACTGCTACTCATTCCAGTTGAAAAAACATCACCTGACTCAGGAACACATCTTCATTTGAAAAACTATGGGATTAAAGCAAACCCAGGACACCTTGAAGGAAAACACCCTCAATTTCTCTTGTGGTGACAAATGAAAGGCATTGAAGCTTTTCACTGTAAGGTTCATAATATATCAGAAACACAAATATTTAGAAATTTAACTTCTTGATTGTGTGGTACAGCAGAAAGAACCCTGGACTGGGGGTCTGGTAACCCAAGTTTTAGTCCCAACACTGCAACTGTTCCTAGAACTTGAAAATGGATAAAATATTAAGAATTTATGGTTCACTAGTATATGAATAATATGTAACAGAGGTGCCATTTACTGAACATTACCATCTACTCTGTACCAGGAGCTTTATCGACAAGTTGGATGGGATTTCATGAAATGGAGGATGGAACTCAAGAGAGATGAAGGACTTTGTTTCAAGTCTCAAACCTTGTAAGCGATGGGGCTGGGAGGAAAACCTTTACATTAAAGCCCAGGATCTCTCCATTACCCCAATCTGCTTCTCTAGCCCTGTATCTTATAGAATTTTATTATAGACTTTACAGAACCTCTCTGCATATGATGAAAGTGTAGGATATGTTTTCAGCCTCGTCAAACAAGTTAACTTTAACTTCTAAAATACATCTAATGCAATTCATCCACATAGTAATGTTACCGGGATCACGCAAGTGTGCCAAGTCTTCTGAGGTCCTTCACAGCACCTTGAGAGGACACTAGAAGTGTTTAAAGACTGAAAAAACCAGCTTTCAGCTTTCAGGAATGGGTTTGAGCAGTTTAAGAGGCTGGCCAGTTGATTTCTCCTCAAACCAAGGATTTTTTCTCTGGCTGAGTCCCCAAATCCTGCCTGGTCTCTTTCTTCCCTAATTACTTATCAGAAAATTCTGTTCCCACTTACCTGGACCATTCTGTATTTTCAGGACCTGTGCTAACCCCAGCCTGATTTAGGGACTAAGGAAGAATGAGTTGGAAACAATGGGTAGGAGAACTCAATAGAGACCGCCCCCCATGGGACTCTGGAACATAATTTCTAGTACTGCCCCAAACATACAGATGGTTTTGGCTAAAGTCATTCTGACCTGTCCTTAGTGAGATTGAAAGGGTGAGGAGGGACTAGATGGTTTTTAGGTCCAGATCTTTTCCCTCAAAACATCTCAGCTCTGACCTCTGACAAAGGTCACTGATCTGGGAAACCAGGGGTGTAGCCCTGGCTTTACTAGATACCCACAGCGCACCTATGAGCAAATCACTGCCAAATCACTCCCCTCTGTCACAGTTACCAATCCTGTGAAAAGACGCAATAGACCTGCAGGTTAAGCACTGTTTCTGCCATCTCTATGCACTATAATCCCCCTCCATCTAAATCTTAAAAGTTACATCTCCAAGGAGCAAGAGTTGGGTCACTGCCAAAACCACTCAGTTCGCAGGAGACAGAGGCTCAAGAAGCTTCAGTCACTTACCCCAAATCACACACAGAGTGAGAGGCAGGGCTAGGCCTAGAAACCATGTCTCTTCACTTGGCCACAAAAACTAAAACTCCCTCACACATGCTAGTCTTTACATCCCACTTAATCCCGACAATTCTCAGAAATAAGACTCAATACCGGGCCCATTTCGCAGACGAAGAAACCAAGACCCACAGTTTCAAAGTCTTGCCCAACCCCACAGAAGGTCGGGGTTAGTGCTGGATAGAGGAACAAGGTCCCCTCCCGGCCGTCCTGGGGCCTCACCCTCGAGGAGGCGGCAACGCTGGTGGAAGATGTAGCAGACCTCATCCTTGTATAGCGGGTGCTCCTGCAGCGGGGGCAAGCGGCGGAACTTCGGGTGCGTCCAGCCGGGATCCCAGGGCGGGAAGACTGGTCGTGCCAGCCCGGGCATAAAGTGCATCTTCCCCGCGAAGGTGATGGGCTCCAGTCCAGGAATCTCATACACCCTATCCAGGGGAGGAGGCTCCGGCTTTCTCGTGGATCGCACGCCCCACTCGTACGCCCTGCGTCTCGGGACCCCGCAGCCCTCAAGGCCGAGCCGCCAAGGGCGAGCCAGCGCCCGCCTCGCGGGCCCAGACGCCAACGCCATGCCAATCTGCTCTCAAGACCTCCACCTGGACGCCGCCATCTTCCCGCGCGCAAGGCCTGATGGGAACGCAAGGGGCCGACCGCCTGGGTTCGTTTTATGAGTGGCAGGTCCTTTAACCAATCATCGCCAGGTAACTCTTGCCTTGCCCCACCCCGCAGGCCGTCCACATTTTTTCACAGGTGGAACCCTGCCCACCTCTCCCGGGTGGGAGTGAAACCTGCAAGATCTTTACCTGAGGGGAATCGCAGGAGGGTAGGTGAGTGGTTGTGGTGAGAGCTGGAACGAACTAGGAGAGCTTCAGGACTTAAAACCTCAACTCAGGACAACCTTGATTTCTTACGAGCAATTGGAGCTTGGGCAGAGTACTTCCTTCTGAGCCTTAAAGTCACTCGGTGTAAAAATCGGGATGTGTCTGTGTGCTCAGTCGAGTCTAACTCTTTGCGACCCCATGGACTGTAGCTGGCCAGGTTCCTCTGTCCATGGAATTTTCCAGGCAAGAATGCTGGAGTGGGTTGCCATTCCCTCCGCCTGGGGCTCTTCCTGACCGGGGGATCGAGCCCACATCTCTTGTCTTCTGCATTGGCAGGGTTATTCTTTACCACTTCGCCAACTTGGAAGGGATGGAAATGCCTAAACTAGCTCAGTCACGCAGCGCACAGAACGTGGTGGGTATCCCGTAAGTTTTCTTTTCTCTCCACCACTTCTGACGTGGAGCCTGAGCGTTGCCCTTGCACCACGCTGGGGCCGCTCTGACCTCGCACACTGCATGCCTCCTCCCCAGTGCCCAAAAGGAGTTCATTTCCTCGTCTGTCCCTTTTCGCCTCCTAGGAGCGGGGCCAGAGCGGCAGAGGGGTGCCTTGCTCCTTGTTCAGTAGGTGTTTATCAAATACCTACTGTGTGTCGGGCACTGTTGAGTAGCGGGTTTTCACTGATGAATAAAACGGATGTGCGATGTAGAGCTTACAGTTTAAGTGGGAGATACAGACAGAAAGCAAGTAAACCAAATAGCAGTTGCAACACACACACTTAATATCCCTTTCCCTCAGTTGTTTAGTTGTTTTCCTCTTTAGTATTTAACACTAAACATAGCCTATTTTTCATTTTGATCTTAATGATGTTCCCACTGGAGAATATAAGCTCCATGACTGCAAGGAGCTCCATGAATGCGAGGAGTCCATGAATGCGTTTCTTCATTATTGTGAAGTCTGCCTCTAGATCAATGCTGAGCACATAGTAAATATACATTTAATGAATCAATACATAATGATGTAATGAATAAGCCAATAGGGTACCTGCTAAAGCTGGGGTCCTCAACCCCCAGGATAGTCACTCCCCGTCAACTTGCATCACTGCCTGAGCTCTGCCTGCTGTCAGTTCAGCAGCTGGCGTTAGATTCTTATAGGAACATAGACCCTAACCCTAAAGTAAAGGCAGAATATCCTGATTGCCACAAAACAGAAATAAAAGGCACAATAAATCTAATGTGCTCAAATCTTCCTGAAACCATCCCCTCCCCCACCCCAGTCTGAGGAAAAATTGACTTCCACGAAACCGGTCCAAGCCAGCTATGCTAGAAAAGGAGAAGGAGGTGGCACAGGGAGTGGCTCTGAGAGGAGGTGACCTTGAAGCAGGGTCTGAGGGAGTGGAGAGTCGTCCAGGCAGAGGCAACATGTGTCAAGGCCTGGCTTCTTAGACTCAAAAAGTAGAGGCTGAGAGGAGATGCGAAACTAATCTTTAAAAGTCATAACTGACATGGCCAACTTCTCTAATCACTTCCAAAATAGCAGGGAAAGTGGGATTGGTAAAATCCAGAAAGTAAATTTAAGGCAAAGATAGATAAATAACTCTCACACTGTACAGCAGTTTACAGTTAACAGAGCTCCTTCTGTTAGCTTAGCTCACTTTATTTCTCCCAAACCTCTTGGGAGTAAGAAATCAGCATATAGAGGAAACCAGATCTCATTCACTTTTAATACAAACCTGGTACATAGCATGCAGGAAGAATGGGTTGGACTGATGTGGCACCATTCTCGTCTGGAAGCTCTGTGAAGGTAGCGCCCATATTTTATTAACCTCTGCTGTATCCCAGCACCGAGCACTATGCCTGGCTCCCAGACCTTGTTTGTAAACTGAGCACTCACCACTTGCCTGAGCCTTCCGTCTGCCAGGCCTGTGCTTGGTGGTAGAATGCAGAAAGAATAAGACACCACACTTGCCCTCAAGAGGGTCTTAGCCTGCTGAACCTTCCTGAAATCATTGAACTAGCAGTAGAAGGTTTCTTTCCTCTAAAGAGAAACCTTTCCTTTACAAGAGAGAGATTTGTGGCATACACAGGAACTGCCCTTCTAAAATCAGTGATAGTAAGTGGTAAGAGCATTTGGGCAAGTTCTGACCAGGAAGAATGTTGGGCACCAGGCAAGAAGGTTGGATTGTGTGTAGTAGGCAGTGGGGGATTGTTGGAGATTGCGAAGCAGGGGACAGGTGTGGTCAGAGCTGGTGGCAGGTGTGCTGAGGGATAGTGTTGGGGGAGACTGGAAGCACATCGTTTGGGCCCATAGAAAACTCCAATGTAAATGGGTATGGGAAGCGGAAAAAGTGGGAAAGATCGTAAAAGTTAGGACTCCTGGGAAGTGATTGGTAACCAAGAAATGGGACTTCTGTGTCCTCTGGCAGGCATAGTGATTTGCTCCTCGCCTTTCCACAGACTTGACCCACACCTTGATTCTAGCATTTTATGCACCCATGAAGCTACTGCCCTTGGGAGGCTCCAGGGGGCCCATAAAATTCAATGGCAGTTTGACAAGGTTGGTGTGCCAGCCCAGCCCACTGGGAACTGGAGATGAAGACACTCTCCTCTGCCCTGCAGAGGCGTGAAATCTAGGGAGAAAGAGTATCCTGGAGTCTTAAGAGACCAGGTATATGCACTAACCTTGCCACTTCTGGCTTCCTGGCCACAGTTTTCTCCATTGTGAAATAAAGAAATGCATTGCCTCCTTACCTATGGCTGTCGGAAGCAGAGTGAGACAGTGCAAAGTGCTTTGGACAGACTGGCCCAGTAAGTGACCTCTATTCTTTTCCCAGTTATTATTTGCTTACTGTCTGACTCCTCCAGACCAGGAGCTCCTCTAGGACATAGATGAGTAGTGTCACTCACCTCTGTGTCGCAGCACCTCATTCAGCAGCCCCTGCCCAGTAAGTGTCAAATGAGTGGGAGGATAGCAAAAACTGGAGGTTTTAGTCGTAATTGCATTTTAAGTAATGTTCTGTGACATCAGATTTCCCCTAAGTTCTGTTCTCAGACAAGAGGGAGAGAAGAGACCCCCTCCCCCCTTTACTTTGATTTGCCTGTGGATTTTAAATGAATAGTTTCCTTGCAAGTGAGATGACAGCTCTATTTCTATATGAACTGTAGAGTTCCACATATAAATACAGAAAACCTTGATAAATCCCAAACTGCCCTCACAGAAACATCCCAAAATAAATCATAACCATTTAAATTTTCCTCCCTGGTCTATCTTTCAATATTTACCTAATGGCCCTGAAAGCAAGTTCCTTGCTTTCCTTTCTTCCTTTCATATAACATGCATATTTTTAAATATACACTGTGCTGCTTCATAAAATGAATAAAAAAACAGGTCTCTGCCCTCAAGCAGTTCACAATCTCAGAAGAGAAAAACATGTAAACTTGTTAATTTCTGAACAGTGTGAAATGCTATAAGGTGGAGACTCATCTACTGGAAGAGCATTTATTGAGTACCTGCCATGACCAGGGCTGGACCAAGTGCTATGAGTGCTGTAGGAAGCCAAGCGGGCCTTCGCAGAGACCCCAGCCTGCTCTCTACCAGCCCATCCCTTCCTTGTTGTCCGTTACCCAGAGCTCCATCTCTAGACTCAGGTTCCTAGACCTGCTTAATCCAAATGGAACTAGATTTTGCCCTTGGATGCCCCACAGGCATTCAGTGTACCTCTCACTGAACTTACCATTTCCCTCCCTTCCTTTTTCCTCTAAAACTCAACTCCTTTTGGACCCACTATCCACCCAAGGATCCAAGCCACACACCTGGATGTTACTTCAGCCCTCTCTCCCCCTCACCTGCTCACCTCACATCCGTCAGTCTCTGTGTTCTGTTAATTCCTGCTTCAGGATTTCTCTAATTGTCCCCTCTCCTCTCATCTTCTCTGAAGCTGTCCGGGTCCAGATCAGCTCTCACCTGGACCATCATGACCTCCTTCTCCTGTTTTCCTGTGATTGAAGAACAATATGTTTGGAGACCAGACAGAGCAGAATTTAAGTCCCAGTGCCATCATTTATGGAACTTTGTGACCTGGGTAGGGCTTCCCAGGTGGCACTAGTGGTAAAGAACCTGCCTGCCAATGCAGAGGGTGCAAGAGATGCAGGTTCGATCCCTGGGTCAGGATGATCCCCTGGAGGAGGGCACGGCAACCCACTCCAGTATTCTTGCCTGGAGAATCCCATGGACAGAGGAGTCTGGCGGGCTACAGTCCATAGGGTTACAAAGTTGGACATGACTGAAGCGACTTAGCATACACGTGTGTGACCCTGGGTAAGTTATTAAACCTCTTCAGACTCCAGTTTGCCCATCCATAAAATGGCACCTCCAGGACTGGCCTTGTTGTAAAGATTAAATAAAACGCAGCAATTTGGTAGATGACTCACCAGCAATACTAAGTGAAGGAAACTAGGCACAGAAGAATACATTCATATGATACTGTTGTTATTGTTTAGTCGCTAAGTCATGACCAACTTTTTTGTGACTCCATGGACTGTAGCCCACCAGGCTCCTCTGTCCCTGGGATTCTCCAGGCAAGAATACTGGAGTGGGTTGCCATTTCTTTTTCTTCTCAATGCAGGGATTTAACCCAAGCCTCCTGCTTGGCAGGCAGATTCTTTACCACTGAGCCACCTGGGAAGCTGTTCATATAAAGGTAAAAACTAAGCAAATCTGATAAATTGTGGATAGAATTGCCAACAAAGGTGGCACGAGTATAGAAAAGCAAGGAAACCGATAGTGGTTATGGGGGGCGGAGGTGTGATCAAAAAGGACACAAATGCGCGACTTCTGAGATGCCAGCAAGGTTCTTTTTACTTGAGTGAGTGGTGGTTAAAAAATGGCTCTTTTATAACAATTATTAAATTGTACATAAATGTTTTACTTCATCATTTAAAATATTTTAAAAGTTCAATGAAATTTTCTATGTAATCTTTTTTTTTTTTAACTTTTTCTTTTATGTTGGCGTATAGCTGATGAACAATGTTGTGAGATTTTCTTTGTAATCTTGATCCAGCACTCAGAGCATGGGAAGAAGTCAAGAAACCGTGGTTGCCTGTTGGGATTATTGTGCCTGTCTGCCTCTCTCCCCGCAGACAGCAGACCCCAGGATTGATTCATCCTTGTGCTCACACGGAGCTTGGCACCTGCCGGCCTCAGGGAGAACCAGTGGAATAGAGATGCCCAGAGTGTAACCACATGTGTTCTCTCCTCCAGGCTGGCAAGGGAGCAGGGCCTGGGCCTGCTCTGGGGAGAGTATCTGATCAAGCCCCACTGATGATGGGCCAGGGGGAGGAAGGTGACGAAGAGGAAGCCTGGCTGCAGCTTCGGCCGGTGGAGCCTTTGCCCTCCCAGTGCTGCGGCAGTGGCTGCTCGCCCTGTGTGTTCGACCTCTACCAGCGAGACCTGGCAAGGTGGGAGGCTGCCCGAGCCAGCAAGGACAGGAGCCTGCTGCGTAGGGAAGAGACACAGGTAAGGGGGGTGCTCCTCAGACATGAGGGCCGGGTGTCGGCATCCACCTGACCTCAGCCCCGTACGGTGTACCTGCTCAAGGGAGCTTCCTCTGACTCTGCAGCAGAGGGAAAAGAGTGGGCCTAATGAAGCAGATTGACTCAGGTTCAAAGCCTGGCCTTGAGTTGGGGAGTGGAGGATGGGGTGGTATAGTGAGGGAAGGACTCAGGAGTGAATTGGGTGGGTGCATTTTCAGGAGAACAGGATCTGTGAGTTTGAGCAGTCAGAGAAGACTTCCTGGAGGAGGTCTGGGGGGTGGGTGGAATATTAAGGGCAATGGGCTGAGACTTAGAGGACATAAATTTGAATCCCTGCTCATGGTGGTAACTTTGTACAAATAAGTCACTACCACTTAGGCCTTAGTTTCCCCACATGTAAAATAAGGGTATTGGATTAGATCATCTTTAAAGTCCCATCAATTTCTAAATCTGCCTACTGGATTTTAGCTGATTTCAAGGATAGGTGGGTTTTTCATACATTGGAAATGAGTGTTCTGGATGGAGGACACAGCTTGAGCAAATAAAGACTTACAGGTTGGAATCCACAAGGTGTTCTTGTGGGAAACAGAAAAAGGTCTGACTCTGGATGCTTGGGAGATAAAATGAGACTCAGGACCCATCCACGGGCACTAGAGTGTCCAACTAAGGACCTTGTGCTTTATCCTGGGCTGAGAGGAACTGTGCAAGGCTTCAGAGCAGAGTGACCTTGATGTAAAATGCTCTGGCGTTCTTAGAGCCTGAAAGGGAAGGAAGGTGGGGCTGCACTTTTATACAGAAAACTTGTCAACCACAATAGCCCCTCCTTGTGCGGAGGATGCTTGTAGAGGCTTGCCTGTCTCTTGAGTCCCAAGTTCTAGCTGGTGAATCTTTTCCTCTTGCAGAGCTGCCCTTCCAAGCTGAGCCCAGAGACCTTCCTGGCCTTCCTCATCAGTGCTGTAGACAGGCTCACCAAGGACACCTACCTTGTCCGGTTTGCACTACCTGGGAACAGCCAGCTCGGCTTGCGGCCTGGCCAGCACCTCATTCTACGGTACACTCAGGTAGTGGGAGGACCTCATCCTACGGTACACTCAGGTGATGGGAGGACCTCATCCTATGGTACACTCAGGTGATGGGAGGACCTCATCCTACGGTCACTCAGGTGGTGGGAGGACCTCATCCTATGGTCACTCAGGTGCTGGGAGGACCTCATCCTATGGTCACTCAGGTGCTGGGAGGATCTCATCCTACGGTCACTCAGGTGCTGGGAGGACCTCATCCTACGGTCACTCCGGTGGTGAGAGGACCTCATCCTACAGTACACTCAGGTAGTGGGAGGACCTCATCCTACGGTACACTCAGGTGATGGGAGGACCTCATCCTACGGTACACTCAGGTAGTGGGTGGACCTCATCCTACGGTACTCTCAGGTGATGGGAAGACCTCATCCTACCGTCACTCAGGTGGTGGGAGGACCTCATCCTACGGTACACTCAGGTGATGGGAGGACCTCATCCTACGGTACACTCAGGTGGTGGGAGGACCTCATCCTACGGTACACTCAGGTGATGGGAGGACCTCATCCTACGGTACACTCAGGTGATGGGAGGACCTCATCCTACGGTCACTCAGGTGATAGGAGGACCTCATCCTATGGTACATTCAGGTAGTGGGAGGACCTCATCCTACGGTCACTCAGGTAGTGGGAGGACCTCATCCTATGGTACACTCAGGTGATGGGAGGACCTCATCCTACGGTACACTCAGGTAGTGGGAGGACCTCATCCTACGGTACACTCAGGTAGTGGGAGGACCTCATCCTACGGTACACTCAGGTGATGGGAGGACGTCGTCCTACGGTACACTCAGGTGGTGGGAGCACCTCATCCTATGGTACACTCAGGTGGTGGGAGCACCTCATCCTACGGTACACTCAGGTGATGGGAGGACCTCATCCTATGGTACACTCAGGTGATGGGAGGACCTCATCCTATGGTACACACAGGTGATGGGAGGACCCCATCCTATAGCACACTCAGGTGATGGGAGGACCCTATCCTACAGTACACTCAGGTCGTAGGAGGACCCCATCCTATGGTACACTCAGGTGGTAGGAGCACCTCATTCTATGGTATGCTCAAGTGGTGGGAGCACTTAATCCTACAGTACACTTAGGTAATGGGAGGACCTCGTCCTGTGGTACACTCAGGTGATAAGAGGACCCCATCCTACGGTACGCTCAGGTAATGGAAGGACCCCATCCTACGGTACACTCAGGTGGTGGGAGCATCTCATCCTACGGTACACTCAGGTGGTGGGAGCACCTCATCCTACGGTACACTCAGATGATGGGAGGACCCCATCCTATGGTACACTCAGGTGGTGGGAGCCCCTCATCCTGTGGTACACTCAGGTAGAGGGAGCACCTCATCCTACAGTACACTCAGGTAGTGGAAGGACCCCATCCTATGGTACACTCAGGTAGTGGGAGCCCCTCATCCTGTGGTACACTCAGGTAGAGGGAGCACCTCATCCTACAGTACGCTCAGGTAATGGAAGGACCCCATCCTACGCTACACTCAGGTAGTTAGAGGACCCAGGCTTTGCAGCCCTGCTCTGCCATTTGTTAGCAGTGTGGTCTAGGGCAACTTACTTAACCTTCCTAAAGCTTCCATTTGCCATCTTCAGAGTAAACACTGTGATACATGACTTAGAGGGCTCTTGGAATTGACCTAGATAGTGTATTTTCATGATAAATAATAACAACAAACACTTTTTTCACACAGTTTATGCTCATACGTATGAGCTTATTTATTGTTTACAAAATCCAGTGTGGTAGGCACCATTATCATACCAGAGAGGAAACTGAAGTCAGAGAGGTTTAATAACTTCCCCCAGATCATACAGTTGGCAGATGCTGGAGCCAGGGTTCGAAAGTAAACAGTGTGTCTCTCCAGAGCTTGTGGCATTAACCTCATACAGTTAGCACCAGCTGATAGAAAGGAGACTGACATTGAAAATAAGAGACTTGCCCAGTATCACACAGCTAATAAGGATTCAAGCCCAGACAGCCCGCCTCTTGAATTACACCCTTCATTCCTCTGCACTTCCTTCTTCCTCCCAGCTTAATTTTGTCCTCTCCTCCCACCTCGATCCCCACCTCCACCTACCCAGGGACAAGACCCTTTGGGACCTCCAGGTAGAGGCATCTGGCAGGCAGGCAGCTCTCTAGGCCTGACACTCAGCAGAGAGATCTGAGCTGCAGGCATAGATCTGGGAAGCATCCAGGTATATCATACCTGGATGGCGTTTGGGAGCATGTGAGACATGCAAAGAAAGAAGGAGTTAGGACTGAACCCTTGCAACTCCACCATTTATAGTGTTGGCAAGAGGAGGTAGAGCCAGCAAAGGAGACAGAAGGTGTAGCCAGGAAGGAAACCAGGAGAGAGCTTATTACTCATCACACTCTAGTCACTTGCCTCACACTGACCCCTGGTGTTTGTATCCAGCTCATTCTGGCCTGTGGCCTGGCTGGCGGTCCTTAAAGGTCATTGTTCCTTTAGGAGCCACAGGACAGGTCAGAGCCCAAGAAACCCTCCATCCATAAGTCAGGGATGCCCAGAACTGCCTGCTTCTGGTCTGGTCTCTCTCCACTGTCTCTGTCACTCTCAGGACACCCATGTCCCTCCTCATTCAGACCCCTTCTGGTGCTCCACAGCACCTCCCCAGCAACACGCCAGCCCACAGCTCCAGCTTCCTAGGCCACCAAGTTCTTCTCTGCTGCCCACCCACATGCTTGCCCTACATTGAACTACCTCTAAGCTTTTGCCCCTGGAGGAGGGCATGGCAACCCACTCCAGTATTCTTGCCTGGAGAATCCCCATGGACAGAGGAGCCTGGCGGGCTACAGTCCATGGGGTGGCAAAGAGTTGGATATGCCTGAGTGACTAAGCACAGCACAGCACAGCACAAGCTTTTGCCTCGGTTCTTCCCATTACTTCCTGTCCCCATTTTCATGTGTTAGTGGGTGGCTCATTCTTTAATACCCAGCTCAGGGAGGCCTTCTGAGGTTCCCCAGATGAGAGTGCCTGTGACTTACCTCTGTCACAGCAAATGTCACAGTGCCCTTTGCATCCGAGCCATGCCATATGTTCTGTTTGTTAGTGCTTTGTTCTATAAGCATTTATTGAATGTTTCTGCCCAACTTTTGATACATTAGGATGAGCCTTTTTAATCTTTGCATACCTTGGAGGAGAAAATTATGTTCATAGTAAGGTTCAAGAAAGGGGTGCTTGGGTGCTCCAGGGAAGCTCTGAGGTGTAGTCGTAAGGAACCTGGCTCTGAAGCAGACAGAGCTACAGTTGATTCTAGCTGTGTGACTTTAGGCAGGTGACATCCTTCTCTAAGCCTTGGTTTCCTCATTTTGGTCATTGTTTGCAATAAATGAGGTACTGCCTGTAATATACTTGGTGCATCATAGGCACTTAATACAACATGTCAGCATGATTATCCTTCTGTCCCCCTTGTTGATGATTCTGGAGTGGATTTATGCATCAGGTCAAGCTTTGGATGAGGGCACCTTTGAGGATCCTTTCTAATTCCAATGCTCCTGGCATGTGGTAATATTTACTAAATGGTAAATACTGGTTAAACTTAGCTGTTTTTATCTTGATCATGTTATGGTTGGGAAGAGGTCAGGAAAAACCCCAGTGATGTCCTAAAACAGCTCACATCACCAGTGTGTTTTTTGAAGAACCTTTTCATTTGTAATCCCAATGGAACCACATAGTAGAGGCATGGATGGTTGTCCCCATTTTACAGAAGGAGCAACTGAAGGTTTAAATGACCTGCCCAGGGTCTCACAGCCAGCACGCAGTCGTGGGGGAGCCCAGTACTCTTTTCTTCTGCTCCACCTTGCCTGCCCTTCAGTGAGGACCACTGGGATGACTGGGCCCCTAGCTTCACTTTCACCAGCCTGGCACAGGTTAGGTACCCTAAGGATTTGTTGAATTACTGGCTGACTGCCTGACCAAGTGCATCTCTTTCCCAGAGGGACAGTAGATGACTTAGAAATTCAGAGAGCCTATACGCCCATCAGCCCTGCCAATGCAGAAGGATACTTTGAAGTTTTAATCAAGGTAAGTCAACTCACACAGTTGCTCTAAGAGCCAAGGACTGGACCTCCATTTGCCAACTTGATCGGGGCTGGGTACTTCCCTTTGACGTGGGAAAAGCCAGGATTCACATGGGAGGAGGCTGGCTGGAGGGAAGAGCAGGGACAATGGGGGTGGCCCTTTCTCATCTCCTTTCCTAGGGAAAAGAGGCTGCTGCATCACCAACAGAGGGCATGTTCCCGATAGATTTTTATGAACAAGAGGCTTGGACTGAGAAGAGTAAAGCTCTTCCTCCTCACCTTCTTACTATTGATGGAGCGTGAGCACTGAGCCAGGGAAAGGGGAACCAAGTCATGGGCAGTCAGGGGGGAGTCAGGGGGAGTCAGACCCAGTGCCCACCCTCAGATGGGGCCAGACTGGGACACTGCAAGGTGGTAGATGCAGCAAGCCCCAGCCTAGCTCAGGGCACCTGGGGCTGCAGGGAAAGTGGGCTGGGCTTCCTCGAGGAAGCTGTGTGTGTGAGCTCCGTGTTAAGCTCAGGAGTGGGAAGGAAGCTCTGAGTGCTGAGCAGTGCGTATATACAGCAGCCAAGGGGGCATGACTTGGGGAACTTCCAGTCGTTCGTCTTGGAACAGAGTGGGTGCGCAGGCAAAAGATGGGACATGAAGTTCCTTGGGGACCAAGCTAACTGAAATTAACCTTACGCAAGGAGTTGGCAGGGGCCGGGGCATTTGAGTTGGGCCTTGAAGAAGGAGTACAGATTAGAGGTGGCGTTCCAGGGGTGGATAACCAAAGGCAGGGAGAAGTGAAATAAAGCAGGGTCTGGTGGGAACTATACTCAGTCTGAGTGGTGGAAGGAGATGTGCATGTGGGGGCAGCCAAGGTGGGCTGGGCAATTGGTAGAGATGAGATGAACAAAGTGGGCTGGATGCAAAATGCTCCAGAGACCCAAGGAGTAGGCAATAAATGTATAAGAAGTCATGAAGTTCGAATTACGTGCACAAATAATTGGGTTGAACTACATGAAATTGCTGAAATGCTAACATTTTTGACTTACGGAACCAGCAGTTTCACATGAGTCAGCCTAATACATAGCTCTAGATCTTTTCCCAAACAGAATCCTAGGGAACACCTATCTTTAGGTGTTCACATCCTTTGTCTCCCTTGTAGGACAGAAATTATCCCCCTTTCATTGACAAGTAAACTGAGACCCCAGGAGTGCCTGAGACCCCAGTTAGTAACAAGTGCAAGTGGTGGGTAAGCCCTGGCCTCCTGATTCCAAGTACCTAGCACCGTCTATGGCCCCTGCCTTCCCCGTCTGCCTTCAGAGCTCAAGTATTTATTCCCTCACACATAAGCTTGGATGGGATCCCTTCTCCACGCAACTGTTTGTCTGGGAGATTCCACAAATCCTCTCCAAATGGCCCACTTCCCCAAGCTGCTTGTCTGGGTGTGTTTCTATTGAAAGGATAAGCCTGGAGACAGTACTTCGGGGCAGCTGGATCGTTCCCAGCTGCAAGGCTGATTTTCTCCTTCGTTTACCGGAAAGCCTCTCTTCAGAGAGATGCTTAATTATCCCTAAGCCGCTGGCTGGGAAGAACTGGAAATGTCTTGGCAAATTGGGAAGGCAGGCGGGTTTTCTAAGGTTTACGCTCCCTTGTAGATGGGAAGGGGGAACTCCCATTTCTCAGGCACCTTCTGGGCTCCAGGTACTGTGTCTAGCTCTTTAATTACCTCATTTCAACCTTGTAACCACCCTGCAGAGTAGATCATATTCTCCCCACTTTGCAGATGAAGAAACTAAAACTTAGAGAGATGATATTGTCCCAAGGCCCCTTGGGTAATATGATCCCAAATGGAAGAACAAGTCCAGTGTCAGTTCTGTTTAACAAATGTGTTTTGAGGGTTTACCCTGTGCCAGGCTCTGTGTGGGTGCCAGAAGCACAGAAAAACCCGTCCTTTCTTCTTGAGTTCTCTCTGTGCCACAGGGCTTTTAAGGCCACCCCTGGGGCTGTGCCTCCCCCGGACTGGGGCCACAAAACAAGGGGTGGGCTGAAATGTATCTTTCAGCAACTTAGAAAAACTGTAGCCTCCTCCCCAGACCTCTTCTAGGTCAGCCGAGGACGTTCTTTGCTTTATGCATTTGGTGCCCAAGGAAGGCAGCAATGGTACCAGAAGTGGCTGCGAGTGCTTAAAAGCAAATCTGGTGACCAAAGCCCAGTCTCTCCTTCAGGCCTGGTTGTAATTTCTCCAAACACTCTTCCAGTCCTCTCTCCCAGTGCTCCCCCCGACCCCTCCTCTGTTGTGTCCACTTGCTGTTCCTAGAACATGACCTGGGCTGTCCTACCCCTGAGCATACCACACCTGATGCCCAGAATTCTCTGTGCCCTTCTGCTCCCATCTCCAGTGAGTCTGATCCTCCCCAGTCTTCAAGGTCCAGCCCCACTGCTTCCTTCTCCAGGAAACTCTGCCCAGTCCCACTCCACTGGAAGTGACCGCAGCTCCTCAGGCGTTAGGTAGTCTCTACCTTGTCTATGTCTGAGCCTTAGACTGTGAGCTCCTTACACTTAGGAGGGCCTGATCTGGGTTACTGATTTGTTCATTCAGATGTTTACGTCCTTTCCGTGATTCAGGCATTGGCTGCTTTCATGGAGCTTAAGGCCCAGCTGTCTTCCCTGCAGCCCCAGCATAGTGCCTAGCACAGAGTGGGTAGGCACCCAGCAAGTGCATACTGCCCTTCTCCCATGGAGGAATCCCCTCCACAACCTTCATTTTTTTCATCCAGCCAGGAGACAGTATAGGGATATGCAGACTGCAGATGAGTGGCCCACAGACTGCCTCTAGCCTGCAAATATATTTGGTTTTGGCCTGTGTAGTGTTTTAAAATTTTAAATTAACTGCTAACATTTCAAAAATGGGAAAATTTTCCTAAAAATATGGATTTCCTGCCCCTCTTAGAAAGTCAGAAGATCTGGCATCACTGGCCCTGTGGACTGTGTACTGGAATTTGCAAAGTGACTTCTTCCTTTAGAAAGAGAATTCGCTCACCAATTTACCTTAGTCCCCACCACTCACTCTTGTCTGCCTAACGCTGAGACTGTTAGGTGCCATTAATTGTCTCATACCTGATTCTTCACTCAGTTAGGTTACCTGTGTGGCCCCTGGTTATTTGGTTTGAGACCTCTGTAATTAAGGCCAATAGTCATACAGATTTTCATCCTGGTCTTACCATTTGCCTTCTGTGTAAGGTTCTGGGCCTCATCTGAAAACAGGGACTGACAGCGCTAACTTCGTGGATGATTAGAAGGATTAAATGAGACAATGCGTGTAAAGTACTGAGCTTGAGGCTGACGCGTGTAAAGTACTGAGCTTGGTTTGTATTGGCAGTGCTTGCCCATCCCAATGAGATCTCCCTTGGTTTGTTTCCAGTGCTACCAGACTGGGCTGATGTCCCAATATGTCAAGTCCTGGAAAGCAGGAGACACAGCTTTCTGGAGAGGACCCTTCGGAGGCTTCTTCTATAAACCAAACCAGGTCAGTGCCCACGCTGCGTCCTCAGGAGGCCCCTCCCAGCTTAGCCTCCAGGACTGCGGTTCTCATGTTTCAGGCCATAGAATCTCATTGTGGCATTTTTCTTGAGCCCAGACTTAATGCCAAGAGTATACTTGGGGTTGGACATGGGAGGAGATGGGATAGGTACTAAGAAACAAAACTGCCCATGTTCCAGAACCATCTGTGCCTGAACAATGCTTGGAAAAATTCATACTATGAGCTAGGCGTGTAGGGCCCTTATGCCAGCTGACTCTCAGATCTCTTTCCAGTTTCATGGGCCATTTGCAAGACTATGGAGACCACTCCCTAAGTACATCTTGTGACTTGCTGCTTGGAAGTCCCCTGCTTCCCAGGCCAAGGGTTCTTCCCCTCATCTTCATGGCATGTTCAAGTCCTCCCCTGACATTCCTAGGAAAAAACACTAGTTTCTCATCAATTGGTGCACATAAGAAAGCAATTTGACAGTATGTACTGGGGACTTGGGACTTCCTTGTGTCTTAGTTGGCAAAGAATCTGCCTGCAATACAAGAGACCACCTGCAATGAAGGAGACCTGGGTTAGATCCTTGGATCAGGAAGATCCCCTGGAGAAGGAAATGGCAAAGCACTCCAGTATTCCTTCCTGGAAATCCCATGGACAAAGGAGCCTGGTGGGCTACAGCCCGTGGGGTTGCAAAGAGTTGGACACAACTGAGCAACTAAACCACCACTGGGAGTCTTAGGAATCTTCACATCCTTGACCCAGTGCTTCTACTTCTGGAGTCTGTCCTATGGAAAGAATCCAAAATGCTGCCTCTTGCACATGTTCATTGCAGCTTATTTATAATAGCAAGAAATTGGAGACAGCTGAACATCCAACAACAGAGCAATTAAGTACACTGGGTTACAGATACTTGATAGACTATTATCCTGGATTTAAAAATTATGTTTATAAATGATGTTGATGCTTATGCTATAAGGTCAAGTGACCAATACTAAGTAAAATACTAAATACACAACAAGCTAGGAAACTTAAGTTAGATTATACAGAAAAAGTATTAAAAAAAAAAAAGCAATAAAATGTTAGCATCTCTGGGTGGTGGAATTATGGGTGATTTTTATTTTCTTCATTATATTTTCCAAATCACCCACAATGAGTACCTATTACCTTTATAATGAGGAAAACAAAGCAAAACAAATGGAAAAGAATGAATCATTCTTCCTCTCTATTCTTTTACTTTTAATTGAAGTGTAATTGATTTACAATGTTGTGATAGCTCCAGGTATACAGCAGAGTGATTCAGTTACACACACACACACACACACACACACACATTCTTTTTCAGATTCTTTTCCCTTACAGGTTATTACAAAATATTAAGTATAGTTTCTTGTGCTATACCGTAGGTCTCTGTTGGTTATCTAGCTTACATATGGCAGTGTGCATATGTTAATTCCAAACTCCTAATTCATCCCTCGTCTCTTTTCCTCCTTGGTAACCATAAGTTTGTTTTCCTTTTTGGCCATGCCATGCAGCATGTGGATCCCAGTTTCCCCACCGGGAATCAGACTTGTGCCCCTGCATTTGAAGTACAGACTCTTAACCACTGAACCCCCAGGGAAGTCCCCACAAAGTTTGTTTGCTATGTCTATGTGTCCATTCTTTTTGTGTAACTTAAAAATAGCTTTTACTGGTATTCTCCTTACTACAAATGTAGTATCTGTGTTCATTGCCCCCCAAAATCTGCAGATATAAAGAAGCTAAAAGAAGAAATAAAGAATACCTGCAGGCCATCTTCCCAGACATAGCAGTCTTACGACCTTGGCATCCGCAGACCCCATGGGAAAGCCCCACACTTGCTATCTGAGAGGGCATAGGGCCCAGCCATGAAGGAAAAGACATGGCATCTCATGTGCCAACATTTGGCCACTGAAACTGGCTGAGGCTTCGCTCTGCTCCTGTGAGGGTGCCAGGGTGCAGGCCAGTCTTGCCATTCTGCAGCCATCTTCGTGGCAAGTGGCTCATGTCTGCCCTGAGACTGGCATGTTAGCATCTGTCTTGCATTTGTTCCACAGACATTCATAGGGGTTCACCCAGGGCCAGGCCAGTGCTGGACCCTGGAGGCCCGGAGATGGGTCAGATGAGCCCCGTCCTCCAGACGCCCCCAGTCTGATGGGGAGACAGGCGCATAGATTGATGACAACACAGGGTGAGGAGGGTGCTCGGAGGGCTGTGCAAAGACCTGCCTGTGGCTCAGGGGAGGCTCCCCAGAGGAGCGCCTGAGCAGTGATGGGAGAAAGAGGTGATTCACGGCAGACTCCGTGACTGGAGGCTGGGAGAATCGGAGCACAGGACAGGATGACGGGCCAGCAGCAGGGCTCAGTGAGGGGCAGGAATCCAACTGCATTAGGTCCCAGGCTCCGTACCAGGCACTTGTCATCTCTTTAATCCTCATGGCAGAGAAAGCAGGGCGTTTGGCTTGTGAGTGGGAACTTCTCAGTCACGCACAGAGAAAGAACGATTTAAAATGGGTGATGTTGAGAAGGGCAAGAAGATTTTTGTTCAGACGTGTGCCCAGTGCCATACTGTGGAAAAGAGAGGCAAGCACAAGACTGGGCCAAACCTCCATGGTCTGTTTGGACAAAATACGGGTCAGGCTGCTGGATTCTCTTACACAGATGCCAACAGGAACAAAGGTATCACCTGGGAAGAGGACACGCTGATGGAGTACTTGGAGAATCCCAAGAAGTACATTCCTGGAACAAAGATGATCTTTGCTGGCATTAAGAAGAAGGGAGAGAGGGAGGACTTGATAGCTTATCTCAAAAAAGCTACCAATGAGTAAAAAAAAAAAGAAAAAATCCTCATGGCAGTTCTGAGATAGGTGCTCTTCTGCAGAGGTCCATTTTTTTTTTTTTTTAAACCAGTGAAGAAACCAAGGCTCTGAGAGGTGAAAGAACTTGCCCGGATCCTAGGGCTGAGGGTTTACCCTGAGATCTGCATGGCTCGTGGTAGTCCAGGAAGCATTCCCTGCAGTAGTGTGGTGTGCAGTGGCTGTCACTAAAGCTAGTGGGAACTCGGACTGCACTCACAGAGACCTACAAGAGTAGAGGTGAACACCTCACTGTGCGGGTCAGGCACTAACCTGCACAGCGCTGATCTTAAAGAGACCTAGAGCCAGGAAACAGGTTTGGAGAGGGGGAGTCGATGGGACAGGGGCCTCTTGGAGGCTCACTTTTATTGCCTGGCTCTCTGGGCCAGCACTGTGCCAAGCACTGAGGTATAGTATCTCATTTAGTCTAGAGAAGAACCAGCCCAGGCTCCAAGCCAGGGTCCTCAGATCTCTGCAAGGTGGCCCTGGGGCAGAGGAAGCAGCCCAGAGGGCAGGGCCGGGATGGGGATGGTGGGCAAAGCTTTGGTTGGAGCAGGTTTCAGGTCATTGTGAGATGAGAAGCCCTCCCTGGCAAGGGGAGTCAGCTTGTAATACAGCAGACTTCTTGGGAAGTAGTGGGCTTATTGTTCAGTCGCCAAGTCGTGTCTGACTTTTTGTGACCCCATGGACTGCAGCCAGGCTTCCCTGAGCCTCACCATCTCCCAGAGTTTGCCGAAATTCATGTCCATTGAATCAGTGATGCCATCCAACCATCTCATCCTTGGTCATCCTCCTCTCCTTCTGCCTTCAATCATTCCCAGCATCAGGGTCTTTTCCAATGAGGCGGCTCTTCACATCAGGTGGCCGAAGAATTGGAGCTTCAGCATCAGTCCTTCCAATGCGTATGCAGAGTTGATTTCCTTTAGGATTGACTGGTGTGATCTAGAGGGCTGCCTGTCAGCAGAAGTATCTAAGCAGAGTCCCGTGGGGATGCTTTAGAAGGCAGCCGGCCATTTGCAGAATGGCTGCACCACTGCTTTTCCTTGCAGCCTCCGGATTCCATGATTTCTGTTCCGTAGGCCTCACAAGCTGCAGCTTTCACAGGCACGGAGGGTTCCCTGGAGGGGTTAGAGAGGGGACCTCAGATGGCTGGGGAGGACACCCCAGAAGGACAGTACCATCCAGTCCAAGCAAGCCCAGGAAAAGGCCCCATAGTTGGTAGGTGGAGTAAGACCCCCTCCCAACCCACCCCTGTCATGTACCGTCTTATTCCCCAGTACGGGGAGCTCCTCATGCTGGCTGCTGGCACTGGCCTGGCTCCCATGGTGCCCATCCTCCAGAGCATCACAGACAACGCAGAGGACGAGACCTTCATCACCCTGGTCGGCTGCTTCAAGACCTTTGAGGGCATCTACATGAAAACCTTCCTCCAGGAGCAGGCCCGTTTCTGGAATGTCCGCACCTTCTTTGTCCTCAGCCAGGTGAGCCCAGGGGATAACTTGCGTCCCTGATGGAGACTCTGCTGTCCCCTTGCACTCCTCCCGAGGGCCTGCCGTGGGCTCTCTGACCTGTGCCATAATAATCATTCTTGCCACTGGTGGAACCCACAGGTGTGCCTGTGTTGTCATGTTCGTCATGCAAATAAGGAAGCTGATGCTCAGAGGTGAAGGCACCAGCTTGTGTCATGCTGCCAGACGGGGTGAAGCCAGGATCTGAGCCCCAGGCTGTCTGCTTACAGAGCACCAGCTCTCAGCCAGCATGCTTTGCTGCCTGCCGTCCACCCTCCAGCATCCTCCGTTGTGTGGGCAAGGGGCCTGGTGATGGAAGCAGTGGGCCAAGCACAGACGTCCTCTGGCTGTCAGAGCTGATTGAGGCAGGGACATGTTTCTGGGTAACCAGTCTCTCAGTGCTCCACCCAGTGCCAGGCACACAGGAGGCACTCACTGTCAACAGCTGGTGGAATAAACTGGATCCGAGTTCAAGGCATGTGTGAGGGTCTTTTCCACATCCCTTTTCCGTGCAAGTCCCAGCCACTCTCACTAGAAGTGGCTTTGCTTCCTGAGCCCTCTCCCCTCTGGTTCCCCATCTCTCCATTCATTCAAGTCACCGCTCTGGGACCTCCCCTCAGGGTCACAGCGCGGGAGTGGGGGCCTGTCTTGCCCCTTACCTCAAGCTAGGCCTTCAGCTGTCTGTTCATCTGCCTCCCCTAGTCTATAGCTTCATTTCTCTTTCCCACACACCCTGGGTTGGGGTCCCCTGCTGGTGTCTCCCCTCCATTCTCTTGCTCAGGGTCAGCCTCATTGCCCTGTACTTTGGAGCACCCTTCTCATCAGTTACCTCTGAAGGCAGCTTTAGAGGGTCCCTAACGACTTCTGTGATCCTCGACATTGTGGGTGGGGGGCTGTCAGGAAACCAGAGATCCTGAGGTCCCCAGGAGCCAGAGTCTACAGGCCTGTCTATCAGGAGGAATGCTCAGTGGCCTGATTACCCAGGATGTCATGCTTGGTGAACGTGAACAGTGACAGCAGTCCCCAAGGTCAGAGATGAAGCAAAGGGCTAGTGGACAGCCAGGGGGAGAGAGGTGAGGGGAGGGCCAGTCCTGCTTAAAACTGAAGATGCCCTCTTCCTGGCCTCCAGCTGCTCACCTATATATGTGGAGACAGTCACAGAGATGGCTGACAAGGGCTTCCCTTCATCGAGCATTTTCTCTGTGCCTGTCACTGTTCTAAGCACTGTGTGTATTAACTCATATCAGTTCAGTTCAGTCGCTCAGTCGTGTCCTACTCTTTGCGACTCCATGAACAGTCGCTCAGTCGTGTCCAACTCTTTGCAACCCCATGAATCACAGCACGCCAGGCCTCCCTGTTCAACTCCCAGAGTTCACTCAAACACATGTCCATTGAGTCAGTGATGCCATCCAGCCATCTCATTCTCTGTCATCCCCTTCTCCTCCTGCCCCCAATCCCTCCCAGCATCAGGGTCTTTTCCAATGAGTCAACTCTTCGCATGAGGTGGCCAAAGTATTGGAGTTTCAGCTTCAGCAGCAGTCCTTCCAATGAACACCCAGGACTGATCTCCTTTAGGATGGACTGGTTGGATCTCCTTGCAGTCAAAGGGACTCTCAAGAGTCTTCTGAAGACCACAGTTCAAAAGCTTCAATTTTTCAGTGCTCCACTTTCTTCACAGTCCAACTTTCACATCCATGCATAACTACTGGAAAAACCACAGCCTTGACTAGACAGACCTTTGTTGGCAAAGTAATGTCTCTGCTTTTTAATATGCTATCTAGGTTGGTCATAACTTTCCTTCCAAGGAGTAAGCGTCTTTTAATTTCATGGCTGCAATCACCATCTGCAGTGATTTTGGAGCCCCCCAAAATAAGGTCAGTCACTATTTCCACTGTTTCCCCATCTATTTGCCATGAAGTGATGGGACCGGATGCCATGATCTTAGTTTTCTGAATGTTGAGCTTTAAGCCAACGTTTTCACTCTCCTCTTTCACTTTCATCAAGAGGCTTTTTAGTTCCTCTTCACTTTCTGCCATAAGGGTGGTGTCATCTGCATATCTGAGGTTATTGATATTTCTCCTGGCAATCTTGATTCCAGCTTGTGCTTCTTCCAGCCCAGCGTTTCTCATGATATACTCTGCATATACTCATATAGTCCCCACCAAAATCTTAGGAGGCTTGTACTGCCATCATGGCCTTTTAATGAATGTGGAAACTGAGGCACAGAGAGGTTAAGAACCTTGCCCAAAGTGACACAGCAAGTTGGTGGAGAGGTCATGACTTTATTTCTTGCTGGTATAAAACAGCACAGGGATGGGTGCTGTGGACTGTGTTCAGGATGCTGGCAGCAAGCAGAGAGGGCTTCACAGAGCAGATGGCATTTGATCCTGGGCTTGAGGGCAGAGTTAAAGTTCACCAGCGATAGGGCACCTTCTACCTTGGGCCAGGGTTTTGATGATGCTGGTGCCCTGGGGTTGGGTAGGCGAGTGGGCTGGCTGTCAATAGCAAGGGCAGGTGGGGGAGGATGGAGTGAGAGGTGCCTCCTGCCTGTCCATGCTCCCTCTACTCCAGTTGCTGCCTGGGCCATAGCGACAGCATCGTCAAGGGTCTCCGAATAGGCCACTTCTTGCGTATTTGTCCTTCATGCTGTCTCTGGAAGGGCAGCTCTGACCACATCACCACCCTGCTTCCTGCCCTTCCCTGGCTCCCCATGGCTCTCAGGACTATGTGCCAGCCTTCTGCAGTCTCCCATCCTGGCCCTCCTCCACCCACTGCATGCTGCGTTTTGGTGTCACTGGTCTGCCTGTGGTCACAAGTGCTCCGGCTTTTCTGGCTTTGCTCGTGCTGCTCCCCCCGCCGGGAGCACTTTTTCCCACTTCTTAAGCTAACGCCCACTCATCCCTCACATCTCTCTGCAGAGGTGTAATTCCATCCTGGGAGCTTCCCTGAGCCTCCAGGCTGGTGTAGATGTTTCTGCTGTCATGGCCTGGGCTTTCCTTCACCCACCCCGCTGCCTCCTCATTGTTGAGGGTCCCCTCCCGACTTGAGCAGCAACCAGACCCCATGCATCTCTTGGTGTAGTCAGGGTGAGCCGCATTGAACGAACTGGCCAGGGAGGGAGGGCGGATTGGGCAGTGGGAAGGAGGGGCAAGGCCAGTAGGCCTTGCTTGTTCCTGACCTCGAGGGGGCCCGTTGGGCAGGTCAGAGCACAAAGGGCACACGAGAAGATGGGGATCATCAGAGAGGCTCCACCGTGAGCAGCACAGCACTATCCTCAGAGGCCCTCGGGGTCTGATGGGCTCTGAGTGCGCCTGGGATTCTAGGCCTGCTCTCATGGAGCCTCTTTCAGGGTTTCTCCATCACCCTGCGCTCATCACTCATCACGGCAGCTCAGAGAGGTCATGGTCACTCACCAGAAAGTGGTGGCAAAGCTTGCATTCCAACCCCAACGTCCCTCTCCATCCTGTCTTGCAACTTGGCTTTAGGAATGAGAAGTTCACCTCAATAGCATCTGTAGAGGTGACAGCCCTATTCTGCTGGGGCTTTATTTGTTTTAGACGCTGGTTACATGGCTTCTTCTCTTTGTCAAAATTCTCCAAACTGTCAATACATATACAATATATGACATACATATACATATGTTATACTTCAAGAAAATGTTTCCTTAAAAGAAATTTTTCCAAGTCATCTAGTAGTGGAGATTTTCTTTTGTAACCCTGGGGATGAAAGCCACAAGCTAAGGCTAGAGGAGCAGAATGAGAAAGAGCCTGGGGCCTCATACACCCCCGGAATACTACCTCTAGCCTTCCCATGTGAGAGAAATAAGCCCCTCTCTTGGTTAAGGCAACCTGGGGTCGCTGATACACAGGCAGATGAGGCCAGGAGCCCTGTCTGCCTGGAGCAGCTCTCCTGTCCCCATTGCCTAGCACAGGGCTGGGCACAGTCCACTCAGTCAGTGAGTTTAGCCGTTCAGTCGTGTCTGACTCTTTGTGACCCCATGGACTGCAGCACGCCAAGCTTCCCTGTCCATCACCAACTCCCAGAGCTTGCTCAAACTCTTGTCCATCGAGTCCACTCTGTAGACATTGGTTAATTCAACAGGTGAATTGAAAACTCAAATGCACAACAGTTATGCTCTGAGCGTGATGGTGATAAATAACCTTGGAAAGATGCTGGGAGACCCAGAGTCATGGTGAGAAAACATTCCCCCCAGAGTGTCCGGGACAACAGCCCCTGGGAGGCAGTGGAAATGATGGGACCCACGTTCTGGTCCCAGTGCTGCCCTACCTCATCGTGTGTCCCAATAACATCCCTCCCCTTCCCTGTGCCTCACCTGTGCCTACCGGCTCACAGGCTTCTGTGAGGGGGACCTGAGTCCCCGTGGAAGGAAGTACCTGGCTCATAGTGGGGCTGGGTGAAGCTTGGTTCCCCCCATCCCTTCTGGCTCAGGTTCCTCATTTGGCAGAGAGGAGCTGACTGTGTGAACTCTGAGGACACCCAGGAGTCACCCCCACTGTCTCTCATCCTCCCAGGAGAACTCCCTGGAGCAGCTTCCCTGGAGCTACCGGGACAGGACCCACTTTGGCCGCCTGGACCGGGACCTGCTTGAAGAGCTGGTCGGCTCCTGTCGGAGAAAGCCGTTCGCCCTGGTCTGTGGATCAGCTGAGTTTACTAAGGACATGGCTGGGTACTTGCTGGACGCAGGCCTGGCCCAGGACTCCTACTTCCTCTTCTAGGCCTTGCCTCACTTCTAAAGCTCAGGCCTGGGGCCCGGCACTGGGAAGCAGGAAGGATCACAGACTGGAATCCGAAGACATGAATGGGAGACCACTGTTTATGCTCCAGGTGACCTGGGACAAATATCTTTGCCTCTGCAGACCTCCATTTCTCATCCATCCCACGAGGTCACTGTCACTCCGACAGGCATTCTGCTGGGAGGAGAAAGGATGGGGCTGTAGGAGTCCTGAACAGGAAAGTATACAGTGGGCAGTCAGGGAGGACTTCCTGGAGGGAGCCAGGTCCCAGCTGAGTAGGAATTGGCAGGAGGAGGACTGGGAGGGGCTTTCCTGATTCTCAGCCAAAGCCTGCTTTCCCTGGAGTCTGTGTATCTTGTGGCCTCAGGGCCAGCTCAGAGGAGGGCCAGCTCAGATGAGGTGTTCACTGACTGTTTAGGGAATGGCCACAGGGGAGGATAAAGGAAGAACTTGCTGTCTGGGCCTCCAGTACTGTGAGCCTGACATGATGAAGGTCGAGGCTTTTTTGACCTGATCACGTCTCAGAACAAGGTGGGGCCCTAGACTACCTTTCTTTTGGCCCCAGGCCTTTCCTGCTGCAAAGGGCTTCCCTCTCAGTCTCCCTTTCCTGGCTCAAGAGCCCAGCCCAGAGTCCTTTCCCTGGCAAAAGAGTTACGGAAGGAAGCTAATGCCCCTCCCTCCTGCAGGCAGCCAGCTCAGCCCGCGCCTGCAGCTCAGCGCCCTGGTGACGGTTGCTATGGAGATCTAAAGATAGAGCAGGAGTCGGGAGACCTGGGTCCCTCTCGCTGCTCTGCCCACTGAACGAGCTGCTGCTGGTTCCGATCCACTCACCCCTCCCCTCCACACGCCACCCGCTCCATCCTGCATGTGGCATGCCCTCCCCAGGGAACCCAGTGCTCCTGGGCAGCACACTGCAGTTAATGAATTCTGCTTTTTTGCAGCCTGTGCTCCTGTCTGCTGCACCAGCTCCGGCTGGCTACAGGCAGTCCCAGAATTGGAATATTAAGCCATGGAATCTCAGAATCAAAGGACCGTAAAATCGTAGAGTTAGAATTTTGCAGTCATAAAATCACAGTCTTCATCACATGCGTGCGTGCATGCTAAGTCACTTCAGTTGTGTCCAACTCTTTGCCCGCCAGGCTGCTCTACCCACAGAATTCTCCGGGCAAGAATAGTAGAATGGGTTGCCATGCCCTCCTCCAGGGGATCTTCCTGACCCAGGGCTCGAACCCATCCATGCCACCCGCATTGGCAGGTGAATTCTTTACCACTGGCATCACCTGGGAAGCCCAGTCCTTATCATATAAGAGGTTAAAGCTCAGGACTCCAGGAAGTATCCCGTCTACCAGACTCATTGTATCAATGTGGAAACCAGTGCCCAGAGAGGCCATGTGATCTGCCTTATATAAAACAGTTCATGGCAGGGCCAGCTCAGAAGCCAGATTTATAATGTCAGCCCTGTCCACAGATTCTGTACCAGTGATTTTTTTAGACTGGACTCTGTAGGATAGCATAGTTCCTGGCATGGGAGGTGTGAAGGAATGGCAGCTGGGTGGGATCCCCAGGACCCCCTCTAACCAGAGCAGTTCTGTTTTTATCTCATTTATATCTTGGGGCTTGGAGTCATTTTCAGTTGTGAAGTAGGGTTTTCCTGCACTGCCCAAAAAGTTGCAACAAAACTGTGCTGTGCCATGTTCAATAAATAAGGACAGGCCATTGGGAGATGGTGCCAAAGGTTTCAAACCAAGTTTCACAGGCACCATTCCATGGTCAAATAGATGTGGGGAATACAGCCTGTGGCCTTTGCCAGCAATTATGTGCATGTGAGCATAATAAAGATTCTGAAAAGTCCAGTGGTGAAGAAAGATTTTTCGTTTTAACCAGGATTTCCCAGGCTTTTTAAACTAGAGAACATTTTGAGACCAGCCTTCCACAGACTGAGCTTCAGGGAATCCTGGTCTGTTGCAAAGCCCCTTTTCAGCCTAGGGTAAGGAAAAGGCCCTTCTCTGAGCAGCAGAGGTCCCAGACAGGAACTGTGATCTCATTCCGCCTCTCCTGTGGCTTAAGCGAGGCATTTTTCCTTTCTCAGGGTCTCAGTCAGGGCATCTTCATCCAACTTTTCCTCTCCCTCAATTGGTATGTCCTATTGATTCTACTCACAGATACTCTTGGAGGGCCAGTTGGGAGCCAGACTTTGAGCCACTGAGGGCAGTTCTGGGAATCTCCATCATGGAGCTTACAGTATGACAAGGAAGATAAGAATTAAAGTTGTTATTCTTAAAGAGATGAGTATGCTAAAATTGGAAGTACGGAGTGCCAGGAGAATGGCTGGCTCTAGGCTGGTCTGGGGGAGGCTAAGACATGCCACTGTGCTGAGGGTGGAGGCCTCTCACCATTGTTACGGATGGTCAGGGGTCCCCACCTAAGGAGTGAAGGATCTGGGGCAGTTCTTGTATGTCTGTCTTTGTCCCATGTTAGATATTTGGTGTATAGATGTTACCACCCAGTGAAAACTGACGGCCTTTCTTATCTTAGGATGTGTCGCCCTCCCCTTCCCCTTCTTCCATATGGGATCTGTGTGCTCTGGATGCTGGTGGGGCTTCTTATCCTGGGACACTGGTGAGAACCCAGCCATGTCCTTGGTACCATGATACCGAAGGGCTCACATCGTCCAGAAGCTTGAGAGCTGGTGGCTGGGTCCTGTGCCTCAAAAGATAATAAGTGAGCCCAAGAGGAAGACTCGTCGGGGTGTGTGAGCATGGACCTCTTTGAATCACGGTGAGGGTCCCATCAGCTGGCCCACTCCTCCCATCTCTCCTGGGAATGCTGTCACAGGGTGATGTGACAAAATCAGTGGCTGCCTTGGTTCTGCCCTCGTCGTGTTTTACTGCACCCTTGCAACCTTCCCATCCTCGGTCTTCAGCCTCCTGCCTCTCCCCCGTACCCCTCCTGCACTGCAGCCAGACCCTTTTAAAATTTTTTTAATTTTTGCCCACACTGCGCAGCATGTGGGATCTTAGTTCCCTGACCAGGGATCAAACCCATGTGCCCTGTATTAGAAGCATGGTATCTTAACCCACTGGACTACCAGAGAAGACCTCCCGAAGTGTAGGGGACATCGTTGTTGAGTGGAGGTACAGTGGTATACAGCGGCTCTCCAGAGCTTGCCTAGACTGCTTCTCACACACAGAATCTATCACTCCTTTGCTTAAAATCCATCAGTGGCTCCCTGTTACTCCGGGTGTGGCATCTGGGCTGCTCTGCTTACCTCTCCGGGCTTCCCTGATAGTTCCGTGAAGAATCCACCTGCAATGCAGGAGACCTCGGTTTGATTCCTGGGTTGTGAAGGTCTGCTGGAGAAGGGATAGGCTACCCACTTCAGTATTCTTAGGTTGCCCTTGTGGCTCAGCTGGTCAAGAATCCGCCTGCAATTCGGGAGACTTGGGTTCGATCCCTGGGTTGGGAAGATCCCCTGGAGAAGCGAAAGACTACCCACTGCAGTATTCTAGCCTGGAGAATTTAGAGTCAGACACAGTTGAACAACTTTCGCTTACTTGTTTACTTACCTGTCTAGGCTTATTTTATCTTGCTGCCACTCCCGCACCCCTAACTCTTATGTTCTAAGCATGTTCCCTTACGTCCTTCTGTCCCTTCACATCTACTGCTCCTTCTGCCCGTTCCGTCCTCCCATCTTCCATTCACTTTGCCCCCCTGTCTTTAGAGGGCTGAGTTTAGTGTCACTGCCTCTCTGAAGCCTTACCTGCCTCTGCACCCTGGGCTAGATTACTAAGCAGAGTCTTGTGTGTTCTTCTCTTGTTGCACTCATCAAACTGTCTCTTCTGTGTGTGAGCACATTGGGAGCCATCCCTGTTCGCTGTGTCCCCAGATGGAAGGGTGCTCAGTACATCCTGGATATCAAACATGCAAATAATAAACAGCTAACACTCATGGAGTCCTTTGCTGTTGTTCAGTAACTAAGTCATGTCCGACTCTTGGTGATTCCATGGATTACAGCATGCCAGGCTTCTCTGTCCTTCACTCTTTCCTGGAGTTTGCTCAAACTCATGTCCATTGAGTTGGTGATGCCATCCAACCATCTCATCCTCTGTTGCCCCCTTCTCCTCCTGCCCTTGATCTTTCCCAGCATCAAGGTCTTTTCCAATGAGTTGGCTCTTCACATCAGATGGCCAAAGGATTGGAGCTTCAGCTTCAGCATCAGTCCTTCCAGTGAATATTCAGGGTTGATTTCCTATAGGATGAGCTGGTTTGATATCCTTGAAGTGCAAGTGACTCTCAAGAGCCTTCTCCAGCACCACAATTCAAAAGCGTCAGTTCTTTGGTGCTCAGCCTTCTTTGTGGTCCAGTTCTTACATGCATACGTGACTACCGGAAAAACCATGGCTTTGACTATACAGACCTTTGTTGGCACCATGACATCTCTGCTTTTTAGTATGCTGTCTAGTTTTGTCATAGCTTTTGTTCCAAGGAGTGCCTTAATTTTGTGTCTGCAGTCACCATCTGCAGTGATTTTGGAGCCCAAGAAAATAAAATTTGTCACTGTTTCCACTTTTTTTCCATCTATTTGCCATAAAGTGATGGGACCAGATGCCATGATCTTAGTTTTTTGAATGTTGATTTTTAAGCCAGCTTTTTCATGCTCCTCTTCACCCTCATCCAGAGGCTCTTTAGTTCTTCGCTTTCTGCCATTAGAGTTGTATCATCTGCATATCTGAGATTGTTGATATTTCTCCTGGCAATCTTGATTCCAGCTTGTGCTTCATCCAGCCCAGGATTTCACATGATGTTCTCTGCATACAAGTTAAATAAGAAGGGTGACAATATACGGCCTGTACTCCTTTCCCGATTTGGAGCCATCCTGTTGTTCCATGTCTGGTTCTAATTGTTGTTTCTTGACCTGAATATAGATTTCTGAAGAGGCAGGTAAGGTGGTCGGGTATTCCCTTCTCTTTAAGGATTTTCCACAGTTTGTTGTGATCCACACAGTCAAAGGCTTTCATGTAGTCAATGAAGCAGAAGTAGATATTTTTCTGGAATTCCCTTACTTTTTCTTTGATCCAGCAGATATTGGCAATTTAATCTCTGGTTCCTCTGCCTTTTCTAAATCCAGCTTGTACATCTGGAAGTTCTTGGTTCACGTACTGTTGAAGCCTATCTTGAAGTATTTTGAGCATTACCTTGCTAATGTGTGGAGTCCTGTACAGGTTGCAAAATGCTTTTCACCTACATTGAAGCATGCAGCCATCACCAAATATATGCTATTTTGTTACCCCAGGATACTGATGAGGAAACTCAGCTTAAGAAACATTAAACAATTCTCCAAAGTCATGCAGGGGTGTGTGCTGCAATTGTTTTACAGGTTGTATGTGACATGGGTGCACAGGAGATGTGTATAAAGATATCCACTGCTGTACTGTTTGAAACCACAAAGGATGAAAATATGTTCATCAGTAAGAAAATGGAGAAATGAAGTGTTCTTTGTAGATGCATACAGTGGAAAACCATACAGCAGTTAAAGTGAGGGAACTAGATTTATGTGTATCAGTTCAGTTTAGTTCATTTCAGTCGCTCAGTCATGTCTGACTCTTTGTGGCCCCGTGAATTGCAGCACGCCAGCCCTCCTTGTCCATCACCAACTCCTGGAGTCCACCCAAACTCATGTCCATCGAGTCGGTGATGCCATCCAGACATCTCATCCTCTGTCGTCCCCTTCTCCTCCTTCCCCCAATCCTTTCCAGCATCAGGGTCTTTTCCAATGAATAAACTCTTTGCATGAGGTCGCCAAAGTTTTGGAGTTTCAGCTTCAACATCAGTCCTTCCAGTGAACACCCAGGACTGATCTCCTTTAGGATGGACTGGTTGGATCTCTTTGCAGTCCAAGGGACTCTCAAGAGTCTTTTCCAACACCACAGTTCGAAAGCATCAACATAGACTAAATTCTAAAAACATAATGGAGTGAAAAGCAAATTATAAAAGGAAGGGTAGAATAAGATACCCATATTTGAAAAGTTTAAAAACACAAAATAGGGACTTCCTTTGTGGTCCAGTGGCTAAGGCTCTGAACTCCCAATGCAGGGGGCCCGGGTTCAATCCCTGATCAGGGAACTAGATCCCACATGCCACAACTAAAGATCCTGCATGCACAACTAAAAAGATCTCCCATGCTACAGCGGAGATCAAAGATCCTGTGCGTGGCAGCCTGGACCCAGTGCAGCCAAATAACTTTTTTTTTTTTAATTAAAGCATGAAATAATGCCAAGTGCTCAGGAAGGAGATTCACCAATTTCAAGGATAGTGGTGACCCCTTGACAGAAAGAAAAGAAGGAAGTGGGATGAAATGGGGACTTTTATCCATTTCACTTCACTAGAAAAATACTTGAATTGATTACAGCAAAGTGATCATCTGGTAAATCTAGGTGATGGGTTCACCATTGTCTGCTTTATTAATGTTCTACCTTTTTCTGTGTTTGAAATATTTCCATAATTAGAGAACTTTTGAAAAATAAGATGAAGTATGCCTGGTCAAAGTGCTTCAGAAACTCGAGGCTTAAAAACATTCCCTGCTTCTCTCCTACTTCAGGGTACACTGTGCCCTTCTATGCCTTCAAGCTGCTCATTCTTTCGTTTAAAACCATTGTGAGCACCTACCCTGTGCCCTGGTCTATTTGTTTTTTAGTCACTCAGTCGGGTCTGACTCTTTTGCGACCCCATGGACTATAGTCCGCCAGGCTCCTCTGCCCAAGGGATTTGCCAGGTAAGAATTCTGGAGTGGGTTGCCATTTCCTTCTCAAAGGAATATTCTTGACCCAGGGAAAGTGACGTGAAAGTGAAAGTCGCTTAGTTGTGTCCAACTCTTTGTGACCCCATGGACTATACAGTCCTTGGAATTCGCAGGCCAGAATACTGGAGTGGGTAGCCTTTCCCTTCTCCAGGGGATCTTCCCAACCCAGGGATCAAACCCAGGTCTCCTGCATTGCCAGTGGATTCTTTACCAGCTGAGCCACAAGGGAAGCCCTGGTCTAGATACAACAGTAAATCGTGTAAACAGTGCCCAGCGCCCACTTACATGCCCCTCTGCTTGTCCCTCCTTTCCTCATAAACTCAAACTAGAGTGACTTTCGAGGCATCACGGTTTTGGACTCTTTCCCCACCGCCACCCTTTTTATACTGTATTTTGATTTCCTTTTTAAGTGAGGCAGACCAAGGTTCAGATCTCTTACTGATTCTGCAAGTACCCAGGGCAAGTAACTTGTCCTCTCTGGGCCTCAGTTTAGTCACCTGTAAAGTGGGCAGGGTACCGTGGCTTGCCAGGGTTGTGTGAAGATGAGGGAAACACATGTGATGCCCAAGCACAGCTCGTGACCCAGCGCAGGTGTGAGAACCAGTCCCCTGCCTTTCCTCTTCCCAGAGGCCCTCCCCAGCAGCGCCTGGCTCATGCTGGCCTCTGGACAACAGCACTTGTTCTCAAACTTTTCAGTCTCAGGACTCCCCTTTTTATTATTTTCCCCATGCTTTGGAAGATTTGGATCCCAAATTGCATGTATTAAGTCATTATTAATTTATTTCCCATTTTTTATTAATCAAAGACATAGCTGCCCCTCAGAGCTTCTGATCTGTACAGCCCTCCGGGAGCTGCACATGGCTAACATAATTCCAGCCAGAGGCAAAGGAATCAGCCGTGTGGGTGGTCTGGGTGGCCTGAGGAGGGCCCATGTAGAGGCACTGTGTTCATTTTCTTTTAACCAAGAGCTGTGGAAGTGCGCCCTGCCTTGTGTGGGTGGGTCTGCTTTCCCAGGTCACTGACCGATGGGCTGGGGCTGAGTCTTCCCTGCAAGGCTCGAGATCAGGGCCCCACACAAGTCCCGGACCTCTCATCTGTTTGACTCACTCCAAATAGGTGGCGTGCACCAGCGCCTCCCAGAAGAGCATGGGGTTCGCGTAGTGTGTGCGTGTTAGTCCCTCAGTCCTGTCCGACTCTTTGTGACCCCACGAACTGTAACCCACCAGGCTCCTCTGTCCATGGGGTTCTCCGGGCAAGAATACTGAAGTGGATTGCCATTCCCTTCTCCAGAGGATCTTCCCAACCCAGGGATCAAACCCTGGTTTGACTCACTCCAGATAGATGGTGTGCACCAGGGACATGACTTACAACTCTGTAGTCCTGTGCTTCCAAGGGGCTCAGCCTGTGATAGGTGCCCTGACGCCCATGGCCCCGACTCCCCTCCAGCTCCCCGCATCCCCAGGCCCCTGGCCCACACCTGCTCCTGGATGATGCTGACAGGCCAGCGGTGGTTCGACTGGAGCCATGACTGTGTTCTCGAAGACGTCCGATTCTGGAACAGTGAGAATGAGCCTGGAGGTAAGCAACGCTTGCTGAAGGTCTCCTGAGCGCCAAGTTTTAGTCATCTGTTTCGGGCTGCGTTTGCCCCAAAGCAGACTCTGAATGAGGATGTGGGTGCAAGAAGTTTACATGGGGGGGACTCAGGGAAGCATGTCGAGGGAGGGCAAGGAGAGCCAGCACATATGTGTTAACCGGCAGGCTTCCGCCTGCACAGCGGGGGCCCATCCTCGGGGGTCCCACCATCACTCAGCACTATGCACTCCTGGGGGCGAGGGAACTGGGCTGCTTATCTACCAGCCCCTAGTGTCTCTCTGGGGCTGAGGCTTGTTCCCAGGGCACCAGCTCCCAGCGCTTGTGGCCTCCCAGGTGTGGAGCCAGAGAAGCCCTCGGGCAGGGAGATGCAGGAAGCCCAGTGTGTGTCCCTCCAGCTGGGCCGTGGTGGCAGAAGTGGCAGTCAACAGTTCCACTGGGCCATCTCACTTTATTGTCACAATCTTGAGAGCTGTAGCTTCCCTGTTTTATAGGCGAAGGGCTGGATGCTCTCAGGGTAGAACAGCTGGCAGAGAAAGTGATGTGGCCTGAGGGCAGCCTCTGTAGTGTGCTTGCCCCCACCACCCCACCAGCACAGCATCTAGACGGGGAGTGTTGAAGCGGCATTTGTTGGATGAGCTGGTGGATGCCACGCGACCTTGGGCTAGCCACTGCTCTTCTGTAAAGTGAAGATGGGATATCGTTTTCTCCCGGGGCTGCTTTGAGGAGTAAAGGAATTGCCTCAGTGCCCAGCACTCGGCTTGGCCCACAGTCAGGTCTCTAAGCATTACTTTCTTTTCTCCTCTGAGGGCAGGAGGGGTCTCTACTAAGAGGTGAATCTTCATGCCTTGCTCAGTGACCACCTGCAGGGAACCTCCAGACAAGTGGTTCCAGAAAAGTCTCCAGAACGTCCCTACTGGCTCCACCCAACCAGACCTGAAGCCTGTCCAAGTCCCTCGCCCCCTACCACCACACCCATGTTAATAAAACCATAGCCTGCCTTACCTCCCTGTTAGTCCAGAGAATACCCTCTCCCTCAGTCTCTGTCTCTGTCTCTGTCTCTCTGACTCATGCTTTCAGCCTCTCCTTAACCTTCCTCATCTCCCATCACTCCCCAGTCTCTTGCCACCTGGCACCTGCCACATCCCTACCCCATGTGCTCAGCAAGGTCCCTGGCACCCAGAGATCATTTTTCAGCTGCATTTGAGGCTGTTGTCAATTCTCTCCTTTCTGACCCTCAATTTCCTCAATGGCATATTGCTTCCTACTTCACTAATTAACTCCTTCGTTCATGTGTTCAGCAAACATTCCTGGACACCCACCTGGGTGCAGGCAGGGTCCTTGAGGACCCTGACTTTGGGGGTGTCCACAGTCTTTGGGGTAGGGGGTTGGGGAGCAGATGCCATGATAACAAATGTGAAAGAACTTGGCACACTGCCTGGTACAGAGTGGACGCTCAGCAAGTGCTGGGCTCTATCTTGTCTGTCTGTCTTTCGGGCTTCAGTTTCCACAGCTAGAAAATGGGTATGAGGGGGTTGAACTTGCTCTTTGAAGTCCCCTCCCCAGCTCTTATGGCCCAAGACCCTGCTCCCACCCCCTCCTCCAGTTGGAGCCCTTCCCTCTTACCTTGAGCTCCTGAGTTAGCCTGTGAACAGCCAGGAGGCCTTGGAAGCTGAGCCTGGCAACTCCTGCACCTGGACTTTCTGAAGCTTGGCTGGCCACCTTTCTTGATGGAGGACCTGATGAGGAAGTTCCCTGAAGTCAGGGAAGCTGCTCCCCTGACTAGGATGGCCAGTGACCTGAAACACAGGTGGTCAGTGGGAGGCAGGAGGGACCAGGGCTCCCAGTAAAGAAGGCAAGAGTAGCTTTGGCCCCCAGCTCTGCCATTCCAGGCATCTACGCCCTGTGTCCCCAGTCTGCATTGAGCTCAGACCTCTTCTTCCTCCCTAAAAGTGGCCTTCCATGTGGGTATAATCAGTGTCACGGTAAGAACAGGCTTTTGAACTAATCAAATGTAAACTCAAGTCTCAGCACTACCACTTTTTGGCTGAGTCATCTTGGGCAAATGTCTCTTCTCTGAACTGTAGTTTCCCCGTGTGTGAACTAGCAGCGCTTGCTTTCCTTGTCTCAGCTTACATTTATGTGCACATGAGCTCAGTCACTTCCGTCGTGTCTGACTCTTGGTGACTTTATGGACTGTAGCCCACCAGGCTCCTCTGTCCATGGGTTTCCCAGGCAAGAATACTGGAGTGGGTTGCCATGTTCTTCTCTAGGGGCTCTTCCCGACCCAGGGATCAAACCGGCATTTCCTGCATTCTTTACTGACTGAGCCACAGGGAAGCCCTTCAACTGATGTTTACCAAGCACTTAATCTGTGCAATGGGCTGAAGTACAGCTGTGACAGAACACAGATCTCTGCCACTCCCAGTGACCGTGTGCTGGTGGGAAGACAGACAGTAAACAGCACTACTGCCCCACTAATGGGTGTTTGGAAATGGGGACACTAACACCTCCTTACTGAACTGTGAGAATTTAGTGGGATGAAGCGCACAAAGTAGGGTGCCTTAGCCTGGCACCTAGTAGGTGCTCAATAAATGCTTGTTGAATAAGTGAACAAATACAAGCAATTCTCTCTGAGCCCTGATTACTAAGTGATAAAAAGGAGCTGGTCATTCTTACTTTGTGAGGTTGTTACAAAGATTTTTAACTTTGTTGAAATAAATGAATTTACATGAATAAAACAGAGTAGACCCATGTAAAGAGCTCAGCCCAGTGCCCAGCTCAAGGCCTGGTGGCTCCAGTTATCACTCATCCGCCCGGAAACATGGTGCCCATGCTGTGCACAGCCCTTCACAGTTTACAAAGTCCTCTTGCATCTTACGTGTGGTCTTCACAGCAGCCCAAGGAGGTCGGGCAGGATTAGAACCCCCTTGGCACATGGGGAAACTGAGGCTCGGTGGTGGGGGTGGGGAAGTGAGTGACTTGCCCAAAGTTACACAGACTGTCAGATGTGAAACATGGGTCCAGACCCAGGGAGTTTCAAACCCAAACCTGTCACTCTTTCCACTAAACCGAACCTAATAGCAGTGATCCAGCCCCACTGAGGGTGAGCAACTCCCACAGTGGGAGGCATTCTCTTCCTGATCCCCCAGACCGAAGGGTGTTCCGGGACTGGGGGTGCCTACACTGCATAGTCCCAGCTCCAGGCAGGCCCCTTCTGGGCTGGGCCCTGGCTTCCCGCCTACAATGTGGGTCAGTATCCCTCCCCGGCAGGAAGAGCCCAGAGCTGGGTAGGCCCCGCAACGGGCGGCGATCTAGGCCCCCTCCCCACTTTCCTCCCAGAAGCTCTGGAGTCAGAGGCTGAGAAGGTCACACCCTTGTCTGGAGTCTCTCCAGAAACCTCATCTCTGATGCGTCTGGTCTTCTGCCATGTCGTTCCCGGGCTGTGGCCCTTGCACTCAGTCTTTGGGAATGAGGACAGGGCAGCAATACTGACAGAAAACAGAGACACAGGGAGAGGAGGCGGGGCTGTGTCTTCCTCCTCTCGGCCAAGTCCCAGCCCTGGGCTGGTGTGTGGCTCCCAGGGGTGTGGGAAGCCAGCAAGTCCCCAGGGGTCCCCTTCTGCTATCCCGGGACCCCACTCCAGCTCCCCGCCAGCCCCAGCTCTGCAGGGGCCTGCTTCCTCGTGCCTCCCTGCTTTCAGCTTTGCACCTTCCTCCTGAGTTCTCTGTCTTCATTCCAGCCCCTTCCTCATTCCCCTCTGGCATCTTACACACTCACTCACAGTGTGCTGACCTGTGGCTTTCAGTCAGACCCAGCAGAGGAAGTCTGACATTAGGGTATGACATCAGGAGCAAAAGTGTGGGTGCTCCCCGAATGTCCTTACCTCCCGACCCCTGCCCCGGGGCCCCCAGACTCCTGGGAAGCTCCCCTGAGTCCTCAGGGTCCTGGTCAAGAGAGAGATGAGGCTCCCCAGGGCCCAGAAGGAATCCCAGGGCTGGCACAGCCTCCCTGCCCTCTGCCGCACCCTCTTTTGTCAGCCCAGACCTCTGGGAAAGGGAGGCATGAGGCAGCACTCTTACTAGCCCGTGGGCACCGTCCTTGTGCCTGGGGTAGAGGGGCAGACTCAGGCTTGAAAACAAAACAAGCTTAGAGAGGAGCCCCAGACATAGACAGGCACACCAGACCCATGGGAGCAAATGTGCTCAGAGCTGGGTGCACACCCAGAGGCACAGGTTTACACTAACACACTGACCTATGCACTCACAGGTAGCTGTGTACCCACGGAAATAGCCGTGCACTTACAAAGTATATACCTGTGAAGAGGTGTGTGTCCCCTGAAAGTGTCACACACACCCACAGCTGTGACATTTGCACTCAAGACACGTGTATGCATCCAGTGAGGGACATTCCCTCGGAAATGTGTATCCATCCAGGGAGAGAGTTGGTATATGCAGGTCCAGGTGGATAAGTACAGTCATAGCGAGGGACGCGTGCCTACATGGGTATGTGCGATTCAAGTGTACACAGAGGTGTGTGCAAAGGAACAGGTCTGAGTGCACAGCGCTGGGTGTCGTCACAAAGGGTATTTTCACACTCAGCAATGGATAGTCACCCACGGGGAGACCAACATACATGGTGCCCAATGCCCAGGCGCTAAGGCGTGAACCCGAGGAAACAGTCTGACCAGATGGCGACACGGGTGCATCCAGAGATGGACACGTGTGCACGGTGACCGGAACAGCTTGGCAGCACCCCCCACCGGACATACTCACAGCGACCCTCGGGACAGCCCCATGTCCACTAGCTCCAGGGGGCTGCAGAGCTGGCGGCAGAAAGGAGGGTCCTCTCCATGCCAAGACACCCCCTGGAAGTCTGAGGTGGGTCCTCAGGGTTCTGCCGTGGGAATCTTCCCAGCGAGGTGCTGCAAGGCCCCGGGTGCCCAGGGTGACAGTCCCGTCGGAGGTGTAGCACTCCCCAGTGACCTCGGCAGGGTGGCAGTGGGCAGCCTGTGTGCTTTTCCCACCTCCTCCCCTGGGGGCTGGGAGAGCTCAGAGGCCAGGCTGCTGATTGGAGGGAGGGGCAGCCAGGCAGGGGAGGCCCCACTCAGAGGTGACTGCAAGGAGGGGAGTGTTAGAAAGGCGCGGGTGTGTCCTGGGAGCTGTGCAGCCGTTGGCACTGACACAGACATAAGGGAAAGCATGCGTTCCCAGCTCCATGAGTGCTGGCACCCTCCCCGTCCCCCTTGGGCCCCCATCCACCCACCCTCACAACACCTGGTGGGGAGATGCCATTCTTACGTCTGGGTTAGCGCCCTCTCTCAGACATGCTTGTGTGTGTGTGTGCACGCACGTGTGCTCAGTCACTTTAGTCCTGTCCAACTCTTTGAGACCCCATGGGGTGTTTACCACCAGGCTCCTCCATCCATGGGATTTCCCAGGCAAGAATACTGGAGTGGGTTGCTATTCCTTTCTCCAGGGCAATCTTCCTGACCCAGGGATCAAACCCGCACCTCCTGCATCTCCTTCATTACAGGTGGATTCTTTACCACTGAGCCACTGGGGAAACCCTCTTACACATGCAATAGGTGTTTAATAAAAGCTCCATTCCCCTCAGACTGTCCAGGACACGGCACCTTTATTTTCCTGTCAGTTAGGGCCCACACATAAGCCAATCCCTCAGGCCTGACCATTCCTAATGCTCTTGGCTGAATACCTTCCAGGCAGCCTCCCTCCCATGCTGGCAGCAAAGGGCCCCCTGGGGACCTCCTGACAAAAGGATGGTTCTGAGGCAACACGTGGTCTGGCAGATGGACGTCTGAGCTCCTCAGAGGTCAGCAAAATCCTCCTTGCTCTTATGCCCTGAGCCAGGCACTGACTATCGTCTCATCTAATCCTCTCACTGTAGGCACTATAAGCTCCCCTTCGTGGTCCAGGAGGCCCAGCTTCAGAGGGACCCCACAGCCCAGCAGTGAGGGGTAGAGTGGGGATTCAGACCTCATCTGT